AAACGTTTTAAAGGGAAATAACTCTTAAATGGTAATTATTGTGTACTATCGTTTATCTATTTATTTGCATATGAGTCAAAACTCTGGGTGAAAAAAAAAAAAAAAAAAAAAAAAAGATGATTCAATGAGCCACTGAGTTGTCAAGTTTCGGTTTTAAAAAAATGTCACCAATGATTCAATTTTTTTTTTCTCAAAATGCCATTTACTTCATAAGAAGGAAGCACCTTTGACCAGACAAAAAAAAAAAAAAAAAAGAAGCTTAATTCCCAATACGGGGGATGGGTAAGGGGGTTGACTTAACAAAATTTTTTATTGTTCTTCCATGAAATTTTTTTGCTAACTTATACTTCTTGTTTTTATCCTAATGTTTTGGAGGATCAATTCTCCATCCATCTTGAAGTTAAAAAAAAAATGTTTTAGTTTATAACATTGAGAAGAGTCATTAACTCCCAGATATTGTTTGTATAAGAATTTTTGATGTGTCAGAACTCTTATTAAATTTCTGTAGGCGATAGGGGTGTACTCCAGCATATGAGCCACCATGTTTTGCAAGAACTTTCCCATCCAATCAGACTCAGTGCCCATTCATCTTTTAGAATTGTTTCTTTTGTAATATACCAAATCTCCAATATACCATTTCTTTCCTTGATGTTACATACTTTTCTGGTACTAACAGTAGAGGATTAATATATTCCAGTGACATTATTTTTTCCCAACTATACTCTGTTCCTAGTTTATTATTAATCCTCACTCTTTAAGTCCACTTGCTCATACACCATCGCTCATGCACTCTGCAACTACCAATGGTCCAAGTTTGTTAATCCTCTCACCTCAAGCCCAATATGTCACCCACAGTTGCTCACATGCCCTGCAATTACCAATTATCCAAGCTTGTTAATCTTCTATCTCTCTTCAAGACCAATTGCTCAGCAATGTGCTCTGCAATAACCAATAATCCAAGCTTGTTAATCCTCTCTCTTCAAACCCAAGCGGTCAGCAATAAGCAATGATCCAAGCTTGTTAATCCTCTCTTCAAACCCAAGCAGTCAGCAATAAGCAATGATCCAAGCTTGTTAATCATCTAACTTGTCTTCAAGCCCAATTAGTCAGTAACATGCTCTGTAAATACCAACGATCCAAGCTTGTTAATCTTATATCTCTCTTCAAGCCCAATCACTCAGCAATGTGCTCTGCAATAACCAATAATTGAGGCTTGTTACTCTTCTATCTCTCTTGAAGCCCAATCAGTCAGCATCGTGCTCTGCAACTACCAATCATCCAAGCTTATTAATTCTCTATCTCTCTTGAAGCCCAACAACATGCTCTGCAATAAACAATGATCCATAGTTGTTAATCATCTATCTCTCAAGGTTAATTGATTGGCAATGTGTTCTGCAACTACCAATGATCTTAGCTTGTTAAATCTTTTATCTCTCTTTGAGCCCAGTTGAACACTTACTGTTATTCATTTCATGTGTTCTGAAATTACCAATGATAACTTGTGAATGGTAGTGGCTTTATAGTCAGCTAATGTCATGATCTCTACTGACTTTATTAGATTCATGAATGATCACTGAACAGTTTGGACAATTGAATTCTTTTATAAGCTCGCTGTTGTTAACACTTTGTTTTAGCCAATCCATTCTCTAGCCTTGATCAGGTGGATTTCACGAGGAAAAAAAAAGAAAGAAAAGTAAAAATATGGCAACAAAAAATGCTCCTTAATAAACTGACTGGACCAATTTCAGCAGCACCATATGCAACAGATACCCAGGTGATGACATTATTTAGTTCCACCTGTTCAACCCTTTACAGTTATGACCTGCCATGCTAGAGCCAAAGGGTTGAGTCACCTTCATTCTCTTCATATTCCATTTGTAAAAAGGATAATCCACTCAGAATGCTTCTTCCCAAGAATTGTTACTTTTTGGAACAGACTCCTATATGGATGCTTCCTCGAACACTGCAATCTTAACCTCTACAAGTCCAGGGTCAATTATCCTCATAATTTTCATTTCCTACTTCCTCCTCTGATGTCCATACCACAAACTTCATTCAGTAACCCTCTACCTTAAGTGGCTCTTGGGCCTTGCATTTGGTGGACATTAGTAATATATATATATATATATATATATATATATATGGTATCAAATGACAATTGGAAAAAATCTTGCATTATATATATATATATATATATAAAACTAAATAAAAATGATTGATTTCCCAAATACCCACTTTGCTAATTTTGTATAAACATCAGCAAGTATATCAAGATTAGATGCAATTGGCTCTTCAACATTAGCTTTCTAGATAAATATTTCCTGAATGCCATATTTACCAAAAAAAAGGCCAGAGAATAGACCAACTGAATATCATGATAAAAACAACAAATATCAGGATGGTAAAGAATTATTAAATGATAAAAAACTTCATATTCGAACAAAATTACTTTTTGCCAAGCTTTTTTAGGTCAATTTTTAAAATAGTACTGCATTGTAAAGAATTTTTTTTCTTTAAACATTGTTATTTACTATGCTATTCAGCAACAAGAGTTACTTTCCTTAAGGAACTATCAACACAAAAGAGCAGAGAAACTAATAGTGATGCATTACATATTAACACTCTTATTAGTATACTAAAAGCATTTTGATTCCATTTACAATAAGAAATGAATACAAATAATTTCAATGACGTTTTTATAATTTTAAGTATTGTTATAACCACAATATCATAAATATTTTGAAATAGTTTCTTGTAATCTACAATGGAACAACCTATTTAATAAAAGGTGCAAATTTAAATATCAGCTTTAAAAAGATCTGAATATAATGAAGTTTATGATATCAGGTGACCTTCAAAAATAAAATTAATTCACACTCTGATAAATATTATTCATTAGTTAATATTAGATGATTTTTTCTAATGAGAACTGAAAGACATACAACTGTAATTTTAGCCCAGTGTAAGCAAATTGAAACTGTAAAAGATTTTGGCAGAAATAAATAACATTTATAATATAGATAATAAGCTACAAGAGTTTTTTAATTCCAATTTTTTAATCTCTTGTCAGATCAATTTTTGAATCCCTTAACAGATCAATTTTTTGAATCCCTTAACAGATCATTTCCACCCAATATTTCATTTTGGAGCATATTTTTTGTTTATAGATTAATGGTATATAATATAAGATGCATGAAAATATGTTCTTTCTTACTGTTTGTCAGTTTCTTTAACATATACAACTTTGAAAAATAAAAAAAAACTCTAAACTCTTGAGTCAAGCATCTGTTATTTGTCGCATTTAATTCTTAAAGCTAGAATGTTGTTGCAAAGAAACATGTATCTATACAATATATATGTTTACCTATACAGTTAAAATATTTTCTAGCATGTGGAAAAGTTTCTAATTTCTAACAGCCATAAGAATTCAACATTTAGCCCAGAAAGAGCTAAGATTTTAACTGATTGTTGTCACTGTTCTAAATAAAGGGATGCTGCTGAACATAAAAAAATGTGAGATCGACTTGTTCTTGCTCTAAAACAGGATTTCCCAAACTGGATGATCTCACCCACTGGCAGACAATTTCAACTGTTAGGTGGTCAATAAGCAACTGAACAGAAAATGGTGGGCAATTTTGAAGATTAAAAACATATTTCAACATATGCTACCTAAAAAGATTATTCAAAGGAGATATGCAAAGAAACTATGTAAAAGAACAAAAAAATAACAGAAGGCTAAATGGGAATGACTTGGTCACATTCCTAGGTAAGATATAAATATCCTTAAAAACAAGCAATATTTTGGTATTTTCTATACAGTTTTCAATGATCAAGTTTGCTTTCGATTGTGCTTTAATACAGTAGTAGTAACAGCTCCTGTGTAAGTCAGTATTATTTGTTACCTCCCTTTAATATTTTTTTACAACATCATAAAGTCAGTTTATAAACCAGTAACAAACTTTTACCAAACAATTTTGCTGTTTTTGAATATTTGCTATACAGGTGGACAGTGGAAAATTTTTCCATATGAAAGTGGGTGATGACACAAAAAAGGTTGGTAACCCCTGCTTTAGAATGCTGATTCAATCCAAAATGAAAAGTTATTTTCTTAAGAAATAAGCTTCTGATATTCTGAAAAGAATAAAGTATTGAGAAATGCCTCTATTTACCGGGTTATAAATATTCAGTATATTCCATTAAAGGTTGTAAGTACTCAGCATAATCTATTGAGGAGTTACAAATATTCAGCATAACCCATTCAAGGGTTGAGATGAGATAATTCATGTATAATTCATTAAGGATTATAAGTACTCAACATAATCCATTATGGGGTTAAGTACCTGACATAATTCATTAAGGGTTTAAATACTTGGGATAATCTATTAATGGTTTAGCTATTTGAGCATAATCCACTAAAGAGTGAAATACTTAGGATAATCCATTAAAGGATTAAATATTTGAGATAATCCATTAAGAGATTAAATGCACATGATGTAATCCATTAAAGAGTTAAATATTTGGGATAATGCATTAGTGTACTCCAGTAAGAGTTAAATACTTAGGATAATCTATTTAAGGATTAAGTATATGATATAATCCATTAAGGTGTAGAATACTTGGGATGATCCATTAAGAATTAATTCTTGTCAGTACTACTAATATTAAATATTCTGTATGTAAAAAATGTATAACCACTAAAGTGATTAAAGTAATTTGCACAAGAAACAGGATAAATTTTGCAATTGTGCTTAAGCAAATTTTCAATAACCTTCATCTCTTGGACCTCATCTGATGAATTATTTTTGATAGGCTTTGAGGCATTGACAGTAAGAAAGTGTTATGAAAAGTCCATGATTCTTTATAATATTGTAACCTTTCAGGTACATTAGACTTTTGTGATAAATTAGGCAATTTCGAGATGGATACAAAACACCAAAAAAAACAGAGGTCAGTAAGGAGAAATAAATGTAAACAGCAAGGAGAATAGCAATAGAACTTACCGTGGAGCAGTAAGTTTTCCGTCCCGGGCGTGGATAACCAAACATAAGTCTTTTGTGATGTAGGCAGGCTGGGCACAGTTCTCCACCTAGAAGAAACAAAAGGCATTATTTTTATTAAGTTTATTTTATGTCATTGTACATTGTCATTGCCAATCATTGTCGTCTATAGTTGAGTTAATATGACTTGTACTTTCAGAGAGTTTTTATGGTTTATCAACCCAATTGTGGATTATTTAAACCTGAAACATATTTTGGATTTTAAGAATAATTTTTTTTTTTTTTCGAGGGAATATTGCATTAACAATTTTTTGAGAATAATAATGATTTTTCCAGATACAAGTTCTACTATTTAACCCACAGCTGAGAGGAGAATATGGATTCATACCTTTCTCAAGGTTATTTGCATGTAAGTGAATGTATGAACCCAACTGGAATTTGAACTCGGCTCTATGATTTTTTATTCTGACCTGCTATTCATTACACCACTCCCATATCCAGCTGAAAGCGTTGTTGCATTATCACAACACTGAATTAAATCATTGTGCCTTCTCTAACAATTTCCCCTGATATGAACTAAAACAAATATATTGAGTCAATTACTAAGTCTGCTGCTAAGAAACTTGGTTCACTGTATTGAGCTAGACAATTTTTCTCATCTGAATCTATCATGCACATTTGTACGTCTATTGTTTGTCTATGCATTGTTGTCACATCTGCTCCACTACTTCTGATATGTATCTAGAGATTTCTTACAAAATCCAAAGAAGAATCTGCAATATTATCAGTCCTGATATGGCACCTAAGCTTCAGTCACTTTTCCACCACCCTTTGCCTTTTCTATGAATACTCTCGTGGCAATCATTTTGATGATCTTTCCTCTTTGGTACCTTAAGTTCATGAATTTAAGCATAGTACTAGATTGGCAGCTAGGTCTCATTTTACTGTTGAAATTACTAGGTGTAAGTGTAATTTTTATATCAATGGTTTCTTCTCTTGCACTTTTCACTTGTGGAAATCTCCTCTGGTTTCTAGCTTTCCTATCGACTACAATCTTTAAAAATTTAAACGCAACGTGGATTGTCATCTCTTTTCTTGAATCCTGTCATTTTTATTGTTCTATATCCTCAGTATTGTTTTCTCAGTTTCCTTTCTCTATCAGTAACCCCTTGCATCTTAGTGAGTTTAGAACCTTGCTTGGGGCGAAATGATAAAACAAAATAATAACTGGCAGAGAAGGCTCGTAAACTAAACTTAGTGACCTTTTATCATCACAAAGCAGACCCTGAATTTTTGCCTATTGTAATGAACAGGGAAGTCCTATGCTTTTAGTGCCTATTAAGACTTAAGCTTAAACCTAGCTTCAAGTGGAACTTATACATACAATCCATCACTGTTGGGAAAAGGGTCAGTTCCCTCTACTGCTCCAGTAAGTATTTAGCTGCTCCTGCTATCCTCTACCTTTAGAAGAGCCAGATCAAGCTAAAAATGAAGTAATGCTACCATATATGGGCAGGAGCTGACTAGTTTTCACTTTCCAGTCTTGATAGAGTTCAAAAGTGTCTCCACATCCTTGTGGGTGATGAATTATTTTCCACTCTACAACCTCTTCCCTACATCATACTTATTATAAAACCCAGGTTGTGTGTGTCTGTACGTTTATATATTGGATCGGATTTCCTACATTTTTCAACCGATTTCAACAAAACTTCACAGGACTATGTAAAATTACCTTGCGGTGGTTCTGACAATGCCAAAAATTGGAAAAACACAATTGTTTTTGCATGAAATCAATTTGAAAACATGATTAAGAGGCATCGCTTTTGCGGAATGAAAAGGGGACAACTCATATCGAGTTATACTTATTATAAAACCCAGGTTGTTGGTGTGCGTTCCTTTATATATGGGATCGGATTTCCTACATTTTTCAACCGATTTCAACAAAACTTCACTTTTTTTTTGGCAGGTAATGTTTCTTATTGTCTTGCACACTTTTTTCTTTATTTTTACATTCAGAATGCTTTAAAAATTACATTTACAAGACAATTGTTTATAATAAAATTCTATTCAATCGGTAGACTCATAACGATTGAAAAAAATGTTTTTGTTTGAGTTTGACCAATTCGTAAAAAAAAAAAAAAAAAAAACTAATTAAGACATGCATGTCCGTCAACCTTAAACAATAATCTTTGTTAATTTTATTTTTCAGTCTTTATGATGGTCGATACTTGATCTATCTCTTACTGTTACATCCCCGGGCTCTACTGCTAGTTAGAAATATTGCATGACTCTCACTAGTTTATCGCTATTTATTTTTAAATCAATTTCACCCCAAGCAAGGCAGTAAAGCCATTAAGACACAAGAGGTTAGAGGGTGTGGAAGAATTAGGAACAGAAACATTACTAATGAGCAGGAAGAGAAAATAGTAATCAAGAGGACAGTAGATTGCAATTGACATTGCATTTAAATTTTTGGAGATTAAAGTTGGCTGGAAAGTATGGAGCTGGAAGGGAGTTCCACAAGCGAGAAGTGCAAGAAAAGAAACTGTCAGCATAGAATTTATGGCTACATCTAGCCAGCTGAACTGTATGGAAAGTGTTCATCTGAACAATTGCCATGAAGATATTTATAGAAAAGGCACTGGAAATCTAAGTTATGGAAAGTGCCCAGAGCTGAGATGCCAGGTCAGGACCATTAACACTGCAGATTCTTCCTTGTATTTTTATCCAGCATCTCTAAATAATAGCAAAAGTGCCAGATGTGATATGGCAGTAATATTCAATACATGTTGGAGGAAGAGAACAGATGGATACATGGTGTTTGTGCACAAAAGAATGTATCGAACACAATTGGAATTCAAAATTGGCTCTCTAATGTCTCTTTCCCAGTTGCTATCCATTACAACACTCACACATCCTCAGATAAAGGTACTCCTATAGAAATATGATAACAAATTTTGACTCACTCTGTATTTTTGATTGTATGGTAGCATGATAACATCCACAGTGATAGTAATTATAGTAACCATTCATTTAATCTGGATTCTGGCATTAGTGTGTGTGTGCTTGTATGTCAGGAGTTCTTGAGTTCATGCCTTTCTCAAGAGCATTAACATGGGATGAAATTAGTGCTTAGCAGTTAGAATTTAAAACAGTTTTACTAGTTTAATTATCTGCAAGGAAAAATGTTCTTACCTCCAAATATGCAGACAGGGTCATGAAGATCTTTTCACCATATGGCGTTACCCTGTTCAGGAGGGGAGAGTTATGAAGAGAGCTGTCCCAGGCAGCTTCAAATCTGAAGAATATTCTAGAAGAAAAAGAGACAAAAAATAAAACATAGTATCTTCCATATATTTTAGGAAGACCAATGGGATTATATAATAATATTTATTATTAAGTGTTACCAGTATTCTAAAGAAAACTAGGCAAATGTACCAACTATTATGGGACAGAGGTAGTAATATTTATTTATAAGTGTGGCCAGTAATCTAAAGAAAACTAGGCAAATGTACCAATTATTATGGGACAGAAAAAAGGTATCTGATGTGGTTGTAAGTTACTACAATAAATATATAATGGAGACAAACAACCTAGTATTTAATAAAGGTCTATTCATAATATGAAGTCAGATAAATGTTTAAAAATGAACAGTTTAACTCAAATCTAAATTCGCAGAATTGAAACAGGATGATTCTCTAAAATATATTTAAAAAAATTGATGAAATTTCACAAAAGGCTAGACATTATGTAAACAAACAAAAAAAGTAATTTCTAAAAATTGCTTAAACATAAATACAGGAAATATATAAATAAAAAACTGTTTCAAAGTATAAGGTTACGCCCACCTGTGAAAACAAGACAAAAAAACCCCTTCTTACCTGTCATCATTTGGTTGCTGTACATAGTGTGCAGGGAAGAGACTCAAAGAGAGAACAGTGTTCTCACTGTCAACATCCCGATAATCTAACGTATTTCTGATGCGTCCTGTAATTACAGAGAAAACAAAAGTTACTGTCTAAACTCTTAGATAATAAAATCCATATCTATAGGGTCATGTAAATCAGAACTTGGCTTAGAAATAAAAAAAGACTTGGGGAAAGGTCATGATGACTTTCTGGAAAAATCTAAAGGTCTTCTGGAAAGGTCATGGTGTCTTTCTGGAGAAAACAAAAAGACATCTGGAAAGGTCATGGTGTCTTTCTCGAGAAATCAAAAAGACATCTGGAAAGGTCATATCTTTTTCGAGAAATCAAAAGGACTTCTGGGAAGATCATGATGACTTTCTGGAGAAATCAAAAAGTCTTGTGGAAAGGTCATGATGACATTCTGGATAAATCTAAAGAACCTCTGGAAAGATCATGATGAATTTCTGGATAAATCTAAAGAACCTCTGGAAAGATCATGATGAATTTCTGGATAAATCTAAAGAACCTCTGGAAAGATCATGATGAATTTCTGGATAAATCTAAAGAACCTCTGGAAAGATCATGATGAATTTCTGGAGAAATCGAAAGGACTTCTGGAAAAGTCATGATAACTTTCTGGAGAAATCGAAAGGACTTCTGGAAAAGTCATGATAACTTTCTGGAGAAATAAAAAAAACATCTGAAAAGCTCATGATATCTATTGTGCAAAATCAAGAGGAATTCTGAAAAGTTATAACATTTTGGAGAAACCAAAAAGTCATCTAGAAAGCTTATGATGATTTTCTAGATAAATCAAAAAGACTTTTGGAAAAATCATGGTGTCTTTCTCAAAGAATCAACAATACTTTTGGAAGGGTCATGATAAGTTTTGGGGGAAATAAAAAGACTGCTTGTGAAAGTAGAGTGTAGTACCAGTTTAGGTTCTAGCAAATCATAGTAAAAAAATTCTCTTTGAATTTTACAAAACACAAAGTAAGTATTTTCTTATCCCAAAAGGAATTATTAAAAGGTTGAAGACTGTGACTCAATCCCAGATAATTTTTTAAAATTTTGAATTTTTGTAATAAATCCAGTTTTTATCATCAGTAAATACCTATAAAATAATGTTTGTTACTAAAATAGAGAAAGAATGAAACATCATAGCGTAATGTTTTTAGCACAACACTTAATTAAGCTACTGGTTTCCAAGTAATTTTGAATCAAGTATGGGGGAAAAAAAACCTTGTTCAAGGAAGATAACTTTAAGTATACTAACTGTTAATTACTGAGTTGTTTCCTTTATTGTTAATAAGGGATTAATAATTAAATCTAGTGATGATTAGCACTTACAAATAATTATATATTCTTCAAATAGGATGCAACTTAACATCAAACAGAGGTTACTGAAGGTGACATTGAAGTGTGTTTCATTAGAAAATGCTTATTTTGTTGTATCAAGTATAAAATCATAAAAAAAATGGTTGCCCACCACAGATATAGATGGCTCAGTTTGCTCTGCTATTCAAACCTTTCATACTAATGACCTTAGGAAAGATATGAGGCCATCTGTTTTCCTCCCAAGCTATGAATTAAATCGCAGGGTAGACTGGGCTCTATAGCTGTGGCTGGCAACCAGTCTAAGGAAAACAGAATTCAAAACCATGAGTAAGGCAATGGGAAATCACCCCACTATCTTTCCAAAGAATGCATGGCAATTCACAGATAATAAAGAAAAGGAATCTGTGGAGAGTCATGATTGCAAACATTCTAAAAGGAGAAGGAAAACGGAATTCAAAAATAACAGAAAAGGCAACAGGAAACCACACCATTGTCTTTCCCAAGAATGCATAGTAATTCAGAGATAATAAAGAAAAGGAATCAAAGGAGAACCATGATCGTCTACACTTGAAGGGATATGGCATTAAAAAAAAAAAAAAAAAAAAAAAAGCTTACCAACTACAAGTTCTTTGATGTCTCTCCAAATCAGGTCTGGACCTTTTTCATGGACAATGGTAATGGCAATACGTCGCTGTATTCCTTGGTGGAGTAAATAGGTGCCAGCACAAGGAAGATCGTCCGAGTGGTCCACAACTGTGGGTACATATCTGAAAAGAAGATGTAGGGGATATTGTATTTAAAAGGTAGATGTAAAATTCATATGAATAGATTAGTGCCCACCATGGATGTTCATACTGAAAAAGTAATGGGTTATGACTATGATAATCAGTATAATACAACTGGCTGCCATGAACTCTTGATATTTTGCCACATTAAGCTAACCTTAGTAAATGTACATATAAGTATAAAAATTTAAGAGATCATTTGGTTCCACTACCATGGTTTCAACTTTTCAGTATCTTCAGGAATATTTGGTCAATTGATTTCCTAATGCTTTATTTAAAAAAAACAAAAATAGAAAATTTGAAAAAAATTTATGAGCATTATATTTTTAAAAAATTAATAAATGAATGAGTGCATGATGTGAAGTATGGTAGAAAGTGAGGAAGGAGGAGGAATAGGGGAAGAGCAAGTGTGTTGGAAATGTATTGGTGGAGGGGTTAAATGTAATATACATACTTTCTTTTCATCCCACTTCATATGAACTCAAAAGGAACTTTTTAGTATGAATACAAAGGGCCATAATTTCTGATTTCATCCAAATATAATCTCTATATATATTTATAATCTAGTAACTTAATGTTTTTTTTTCCTTCTGGCTAGAGATAATCAGCAGACAGGATTATATTTTTATAATTATGAACTGATTGTATTCTCTATGTTCAATATTAGTTAACATCAATTTTAAATAATGATGTTAAATTTTTTCTTCTTTTTAACATATATAACATATATATATTGCTGAAGATAATCATCAATTAGTGAAGTGACAAACTTTATTTGTATTAATTTTATATATATATATATATATATATATAAGATTAAAAATAACATATATACAGGGTGCAATGAATAACTTGTCACCATTTTATATTTTTAATTTCATGCATGTACATTGTTTGTTCTTGATTTTGTCAACTGCATAGTATAGTAGGCTCAGCTAGGCACTGTCTGTGAGAAAAAGAGCACCATGACGCAATTCACTCTGTCAGTAATTTGGAAACAGAATTCTGTACTGATTGGCATTCACACTGGAAGCCTCAATATGAATATTTAAGAGTTTTTGGGTGTCAATCTGAGGATAGTGCAGAGGATTTAGAAAAAGTTGGATGAGAATAACAGTGATTATGAAGGTGTTTGGAGTGATCACTAGTGATGGCGACATTATGCTTCCATTCATCTTCCCATTGGGCTTCAAACTCAGCATGGAGGCCCATATCGAGTGCCATGAGGAGGTAGTACTGCCCTGGGTCAAGAGGGTGGCTGTTGGAAGATTCTATGTCTGAATGCAAGGATTATGGCAGCATTCACTAACTTAAACAAGAAGACCACCCAGATGAAAAGCAGGAGATTTCAAAGTCATCTGGAGGCCATGGTTGAAACCAATGGTGATTTTATTGAATACTCTTTAGTATTTCAAGATATTTTGAGTAATTTTGGTAAATACATCTGTTAAAATATGATGTCAGTGTTATTTTCATTTTTGTGTAATTTACACAACAATTTATTCATCACACCATATATATATATATATATATATATATATATATATACCATTTTAAAAACAGTTTAATGAAAAAATAACAAATACTTATTTAATAAAAATGCAATATTGTTTTTTACATAACTTTTCTTTAAGTTTTTATATACAAGAATCCAGTTTATCATGCCATGTAAGAACTATAAACAAATCACAGGGCAAAATGCTTCAAAAAGTTGGAATTTGGCTACAGAAAGAAATATTTATGGATGGTTAGTTGTATGTTGTACACTCAAGAGTAAGAAATCCTAAGAATTTATTCTTCACTGTTAAAAAGGAAAAAAAGAAATTTGTTTTGAGAAATTTTGTTTACCATGAAGTCCTGTAAAATTAAATTAAAGAAATTATTAAACCATGAAGTAGGTTTTTTGTCAAAGAAAATTTCAAAACAAGTCAAATTATTGAAATTTCATTGATTGGTTTGCAAAGGTGAATGGAATGCAGAGTTTGTAAATTTCAACAAAAAATGTTAGTGATAACTTTAACAATACTGAATATTGTAAGGATTTCAACATGTTGCAAAAAAAAATTCTGGTATTTTAAAAATGGTGGCATCCATGATGAAACATCATGTGAATACTTTTGAAGAACTTTTTCAAATTTCTAAACTTGGTAGTGATGCTAATTGTGACTCAAGACAGTTTGCTGATGGTGTTGATACCATAAGATTTTAAACATTTATTTTTAAATACTTAAACATCTTGTTTAAATATTACAGCATTTGGAACAATTAAGCTTTCACAGGTTGTATGCCAAATACATTGGTTTTCTTTCACCAAGTTTCAGACTTATACAGCTTATAATAAAATTTGTGGGATGCCCAAATATAAAAATAAAATATGTAAGTAAAATATTAAAAAAAAATTAAAATTAAAATAAGGCCTTTGATTTCCTTAAAACTCATCTCTCCCTCTATCTATATATTTCTCACTCAACTAATGAGAAGGCAACTCTCATATAAAAGAGTAAAAAGATAAAATGACTGAACAACTGCTAAGAAATGGAAGTTTGCTGGTCTAGGGTTTAGTTGTTGTGACTAGAAATCAACCAAAACAAAAGAGGCTTCATGCATAACTTCCATTATAAAAAAAAGAAAAAAAAGGTACATTGGAAAATAAATAAATTTTGTCCATTCAAAAGAACAAAGAGACTTTTGATGTTAGCTGTAATCAAGCTTTGCACCAAGTAGTCTGAAGACATGTGAAGAACTAAGCGGTCATCTGCTTAAGACATTTTTCCGCCCTTTTGAGGACTGATATAATCAGCAGATTTGCACCGCAACATGTTTCCAAAGTAACAACACTTCTGACAGCTGCCAACAAGATGATGACTACTATCAAAGTCTGATTCATAAACTAACAGCTACAAAGGCAAACAAAATTTTGTCAACCAGAATTATAAAGGACTAAGCCATACTGAAGTTGACTAAATAAACATATATTATTTGTTTATATATCTGATTCTGTTCCTTTATTTCAAAGTGTTCCAAATTTTCTGATAAATATTAGTAAGACCCTCTGGCACTTCTCCACAAATTAAAAGGACTTTCAATCACTTTGTTGGCCTCCTTCTGTCTCCTAAGAGAATGGAGAATGCTCCAGTAATTTGTCTGGTCTGTGGTTGAATTGCAGTACCTGAGATGGTTATACCATATGATCTTTGATTGATTGATTTGTATTTTATGTTTGATCAACCTTTTACAGGTTATTTTTAAAATACAAGGAAACAATAAGAAAATGACAGGATTAGCCCTAGGTGAATGTGGCACAACTTTTCTGTTTGTCTTCTCTACTCACTGAACTGATCTGCCTAAATAAATAGCATTCCCTATTCTTTGTCCTGTCAGTTTTAATTTAGTCTCCCACTGAGAAGATGACGACAGTCTCCAATATTATCTTTTGATCTGGTATTTTATCTTGTGACAGTATGTTTTTGCATCTAAGACTTGTGAGTGATACACTGATTAATTTATTTTTTTATGGCTTATCAAATTTTTGCAGGTTATTTAAAAGCCAGAAGATATTTTTGAATTATAAGAATTTTTTTTTTGACAATAATAAAGATTTACAGATGAGGCTGTTTAAGAACATGACTCTCTATCTGTAGTGAATGTCTAATTTAAATATATGAAGAGTGGAAACTATAAACATAAACCACATTTTTTTTGTTTCTTAACCAAATATTAATTCCTGAGAAATGCTTTTCATGGATACTTTTTACTTTGTTTTTTTTTTTGTGTTCTTTTTACAGCTTATCAACCTTTTGTAGGTTATTTAAAGTTAGAAAATATTTTTGGATTGTAAAACTTTTTTTTTTTTTTGAGATAATGATTTTAATGATACAAGTCCTACTATTTAACCCATAGCTGGTGGGAGAAGAGATAGATTCCTATCTTTCCCACGGGTATTTGCATATAAATGAATATAACGAACTTGACTGGAATTGGAACTTGGCACTCCAATTTCCAGTTCCAAGCCATTATCCATTACATCACCTGCACATCCAAATTTACAGCACCTGATATTCCCAAGCAGTTACCCATTTAGGTACTGACCAGGCTCAACATTGCTTAACTTTGGTGATCTTAAAATTGCAGGCTCTTTTGTTATTGCTGCATGTGCTGGTGCTGTCCTTTCTCCCCACTGTTCCTCCTCTTTTATTTGTCTGAATGCCATCTTTGACAGCAAATGGAGTAATTATCACTGCATAATTGACATAGCTACTGCGAGTTTTTCTCAGGTGTTGTATTAGCTGAAGCAGAGAGCCGTTAATAAGTTCTTGACCAAAAAAGAATGTACAGCCACTGACATCTACAGAAGGCCCAGAAATGTTTGTAGCAAGACAACAATTGATGAGAGTGCAAAAATGAATGAAACAGTTTAGAGAAGATGAAACCAGTGTTGAAGACAAACTGCATGGGAGGAGAAAGACCAGTGGTGGACAACAGATTGCCTGGAACAATTTTCTTTCCAAAGCACATTTGACAGTCGGGTTTAAAGGCAGTAGAAAGATGTTGTAACAGGTGGAGACCATTTTGAATATGCTTATGTTGTAAGCAATGTTACCCTACAAGTGTACAATGTTCAATGTTGTTAATAAAGGGACTATAACAGGCAGCCCTTGTACAAACACAGTTTGATTTGGTATGATCATGTAAGCATGCATACTTACTCTCCATTTGGTGCCAGTTCACAAATCTCAAACCACACCAGTAGGTCATATTTGGCATGGACAGGAGAAGAGCTGAAAAAGATAAAGAAAATGAAATAGTAAGTGAAAAAGAAAAAGAAAAGAAGAAGAAAAAAGAAAAGGAAAAAAAAGATTAACAGCATGACAATTATCATGTTAAAAATGGCATTAAATTTACATGACATATTCAAGTTTTATTTTTAACATGCCACTGTATGTTGGTTTTAGGTTAGAATAATGGTTTCACAAAATAAAAACAGTTTATATAGTAACACAATCCATTATCCTCAGGCAATGATAGTCCAAGTAGGTCCATTAGCAAGCAAGATAGCATTAAAAGTATATTAGAAAGGTCAAAGAATGCACTAAGCAAAACATTATATGAGAGGGTGCTGAGGAAGAATTCTTGACCCAATCAAGAAGCAATTAGAAATCTACAAAAAAAAAAAAAAAAAAAAAAAAAAAAAAATGGTAATGTTTGGCATTTGGCATTCATTGACTGAGCAGCCAGTACTGTTTTTAGTTGAAATTTATAAAATCTTTTCTTAAAACACTTTTCAGGAAAACAGGTTTCTCAAGTCTAGTAGCTTTTATCACACTTTCAAGTATTGATGGGAGTTTCCTTCCTAACTTTTTATTTGAAGTAGTGTGGAATGTCAACATCTTGATTATGTCATTATTTTCTCTTCTCAAGTCTAGTAGCTTTTATCACACTTTCCAGTATTGATATGTGTTTCTTTCCTAATCTTTTTTTGAAGTGGTGTGAAATGTTAACATCTTGATTATATCATTATTTTCTCTTTGAGTTCCATGTGCTATCCATTTTATTTGTTGCCACTGTTGGTAGTCCTCAAGTGATGTGGTTTCTGTTATTTGTGATTCTGTATCCGCCAGTCTACAATGCCCAAAGAAGGATGATCTTTGCCAAAACCATCAAGCTTTGCTTACTCAAAGCTTTTTTTCACTACTGATCTTAGGAAGTGGTTGTATACGGTTGACAGTTTAGATATTTCTGAACAGGCTTGGCATCCTGCCATCCATATGAAAGTCTTGATCAGACAAGACTATTTAAGATTATGACTCAAGTTTTCAGTTTAATGTTTTGGTTTTGTAGCAATTTCAGGTTTTGAGTAAAACTATTTCTGGCAGAGCCTATTCTATGTTCAATTTCTTTTTCTCCCATACTTATTGATATATCTGATCCATACGCCAAGGTATCTGAAGTGTTTAGTATTTACTAAATTAGCAAAAACAAATTCTGATGTTTGGTCATTTGATCAGATCTTGCAAAGTGGGTCAGACTGTGAACTTTTCAGCACCCCCTTACAATAAAAACAGAGATGAGGATATTAGTTTGAATAAAGTGTATCTATGTACACGGCACCATGATAAAATGCTCATTATAGAATCAAGTTTCTAAGGAGAAGCTGAAAAAAGAAGATTGGTTATATAAGTTTTCATTCAAGTGAATCATTTTGCAAGCGAGAAAGTTTGCGTTCACACATGACGAGCAAATGAATTGAAATGTTATTCAAAGATGACTGGTTATTGAAAAGAGCACCTGTACTCATGCAAAAATAATAAAGAAAAATAAACAGGAAAAAAAAACAAAAAAAAAAAACAGTTTACAAAATCCAAACAAATTTTTTAAAAATATCAAAACTAAGCAAAAAATGCCAAAGGTAACTCATCGACTTGGCTTTTTAAAACTTAAATGTGAACAGTGTGAAGACAGCATGCTTGTAGCTGAGAAAAAAACTGAATGGTGTTTCGAACTCAGTACACAGCCATCAGCAGAAAAAGGCTTTCCACAATGTTTTGGTTGTAAGTTTAGAGATACTTGTACAATTATCGTAAGAGGTGTGGTTGATATGGTTGTTTTTGATTAGCAGCATATCAAACTGAGTTATTTAATGCCAAAATGTAAATATTTTGTTCCCATTTTTTTGGTGTGTGTGTGTGGGGGGAGATACTAATGGTTTTAGTTACACAAGTCTTACTAATTTACCTATAGCTGAGGGAGAAGAGGTGAATTCATACCTTTCCCCAAGGGTATTTGTGTGTAAGTAAATATAACAAACCCAATGGGAATTGGAACTTGGTTCTCTGATTAACAATTCCAAACCATTATCCATTATACCATGCACACATCCACGCTTGCAGTACCTGATATTTCCAAGTGGTCACTCATCTAAGTATGGACCAGGCACAACGTTGCTTAATTTCAGTGATTGTATCAGAACATGTCTTTCAACGTGATGTGGCTGTAAGCCAGGTGTGGTTGGACTAGTGGTTACTAATGCAGAAAATGGAATTGGTAAGTTGTTATCTACACTATTTACAGTTGGACAACTATTTCTTGTTATTACTTTAATGTTTCAGCTGTTTTACCCTCTGGCCTTCTTCAGGTGTCTGTCAATCTGGATAAACTTTAGGGAATTTCAGACTGAACTCTCTATTTAATCTGGGGGTGAGTAGATATAATAAAATGAAATACAAAATTATCAAAAAGCAGTACGGATGCACCACTGATGTCTTCCAGGATGATAGCATAGTGGATATAGGAGTTGATTAAATATGTGTCACTGTCATCTAGTGGATCAGGTACTTAAAACTGGTTCAGCAGGAATGAACAATAACTGGCATCACAAGGACACAATAACAATAATCAATAGATATTTCTATAAGCCAAGAAAAAACAATGGACACCTGATGATGGCCAGCACATACTTGGCAGAAACATCATGCCTATTATAACAGCTATAATAATCAAGATTAGAATAACAGTTTGCAGTATTTAAAGTATATCAATCAATCAAGTCTGGGATCATTGAGTCATTGTAAATTCCACAATCCTTTCATTAGCTGCACTGTATATGCTTTGCTATATATGGTTTTTGAATTCAGAGTTGTCTTTCTCTTTGATTGGATGCCATCCAAAGCTGAAAGGTCCAGTCTGCCCCATAGCTGGGGGGGATTCAAAATTTTTCCAATGGTAAAAAAATACAAAAGTAGATGCAATGAAACTCGACTTGAATGTGAACTCAGCTCTCCAATTTCTCATCTTGAGCAACTACCCATTGCACCGCCTACACATGTCAATTAAAGCATAAAAGAATGCCTATTTACCATTTCCATGAATCGGTCAACTGAAATGCTATGCTTTTTCATCACCATATCAAGGAATTTATTTACTTTCGCCAAAAGAAACATGAATGTTTTATTAGAAAGAGTTATATGTACAAATTTAGTACTGATTACGGCAAAACATGCATAAATAACCTTTTTTTTTTCAACAAAGAAAACCTTGGTGGTTATGAAACAGAAAGAAAAAAAGTGCTGTTAGCAGTTGAAGCAAGAGGAATCGTTACAGTTTCATGCAATTAATATAGAATAGTCCATTTAAATCCTAACCAAGGACATTGTTTTATGGCTTATCAACCCCTCATGGGTTATTTAAAGCCAATCTAAGGACATGAAGACATATGGAGAAAGGATCATTAGAAACTGTCTGAAGAATCAATCAATTGAATAAATGGAAAGAAGAGAAAAAGATAATTTGGGAGAAAAGCCAACATGATGAGAGCACGATTTAGTCTCCATCAGTAACACTTGCATTCATTCATGACCACTGACAATGCCTTTCTCACTGATTTTCAATGCATTCTTAATCCTACCAGTGTATTTACATTATGGATATAATTATAGCCCTATTCTGTTAATACCATTATACAGTAAGGCTTGTATCAATGTGTAACCACTGACAATTCCTTTCTTCCTGATTTTCAATGCATTTCTATAATAAAATCATTATCAAAGCCTTTACCTTATACATATAATATCCCTATTTTATCAGTAATGCTTGCATTATTTCCTGACCAATGACAATCCCTTCCATCCTGATTTGCAATGAACAGCATAAAGACTGTTGAAGTTCACTCAAAAAAAAAACAAAAAACATTAAACTAATTTCCAAATTCAATAGCAAAATTATCAATTGCTACTTAAATGCTGATGTTATGATGTTGATCTTTTCTATTTGTTCATGGCTCTGTAAATGCCCCCCCCCTGCCTTCTTGCAATGAGATGAACATGCATAAGCACTATTACAAATTCTTCTGTGGCTGAGAGTAAAACATAACCTTTGGTTTCTCTTTGAAGATGACATGCAGTAAAACTATTTAACAGAGCATAGATAAATATTCAATAAGAAAGCACATCTCTGCCATTGTCACTAAAAACTAAAACAAAATCAGTCACTAGTAACAAAGGAAATAGCTGTGTGAATTTTGATTTTGGGCTATTGTTTTAATATAAAATATATCACTTGATTGAATACGAATAACTGCAGGTCCACCACCAAATTTACTCAATTGTTCTACAGCCCATGTCCTACTCCATAGAATTTCACTGATCTAAGAACTTTTGAAGAGTCTGTATGGACAGACAAAAATGTTTGAATACATAAACACTGTCTATTGATGTAAGTAATGGTAAAGATTTTTGATTTGTAGCACATTCCCCATGTCTGTTAATATGCTGTATGGTGCCAATAGAAATGCAGCAATTATGAAGTTCTCAGTCCAACCAAGAAATCTATCCTCAAAAAAAAAAAAAAGTTTGATCTTTTGTTCAAATTTTGGGATGGAGATTGAACCAAAACTCTAGTAAAATTCCACCACTGTCGAGCAGACCCCAAGCTTTCACCAATTGTGATGGATGGATATTCCCGGAAAGAGTTTCCTTGTCTCGAACATCTATTAGGACTCAAGCTCTCCTCAGAACTCATGTGGAATGCATATACCTGATCTATTGCTAAAGATGTTTGAAAAATGGTAAATTCCTTGTAGCATTCCAGTAAGTATCCCCCTGCTATACTCTATCTTTACAAGAGCCAAGTCAGACCAAAAATGGAGTATCATATGGAGCTACCCAGTCTTCACTTGCCTCTCTTGATTGAGTTCAATAGTATCTATGCAACCTTATGGAAGATTAACTATTGTCCACTATACAAACTCTTTCCCACATTATGAACCATCTGCTTGCTCTATCACTACTTCCATTAGTCACACCATCCCTGACTTTTACAACTGGGACCCATCATGCCATGTACACAAGAGTGGATCATCCCCATTTCTTTCATATTCTATTAGTAAGCTTCTTCCCAAGAACTGCCGCTTTGTGGAACAAACTCCCAGCATGACACTATTTCAATCACTACAATCTTGACCTCTTCAAGTCTAGAGTTAAACTTTATCTTTCCTGTATAGTCCATGAACTTCACTTCTTGCCTTTTCTTATGCTCATACAACACCACAGAGTAATCATCTACCTTGAGTGCCTCTTGGGCCTTGGATGAACATTAGTTTTAAAAAAAAAACAATCACTATTTGCATTGAGTATTCTTTCGTCATAAATATAGCAAATTTTGCACAATTATATATTTTAGTTTAAACACAGTACATTTAAGCAATAATCCTTCATTCAGACATGTTCTATTAAACAGAACAGACAGGGCTGGCGATTTCTGGACTTTCAATCTTCCTTCCTTAAAAACAACCAATGATGGTGAGAGAAAGTGCTGAGATATCAACATTTCTTGCTGCTCTCTTATTATTTCCATGGCATGCATTCTAACAAGCTACATTCCTTAATCCCACCAACCCTGACCTTTACAACTGAGACCCACCACTCCATGTACACAAGGATGAATCATCATCATTCCCTTTGTATTCCATTAGTAAGGAGGAAGTTCCACTCAGACAGCTTCTTTTCTTTCTTCAAGTCTAGTGTTATCCATTATCTTCCTTGCATAGCCCCATGAACTTCACTTTTTACCCTTTCTTATACACATATGTCACCACACAGTAACTGTGGTTGCCTCTTGTAGTCAATTTGTCATGGTTTGTAAGCAATTCCTGTAGTCACTTTCCTTCAACTGAGTAGCAATACAAACTTTAGCCAAACAATCCACCAACACTGACCACAATACATGACTCCTGTTCACTACAGCATTCACACCTTGTCTCTCGGTCACCTCTTTATGCTTTTTTTATAGCATGACTGATAATTAAAATTTACATATGTTAAAAGAGATTCTCACAAGAGTCGGTCCGACTTCAAGATCTGTCTGTTTTAAATGTATGACTTGTGAAGTTACCAATTTCTTTTTTGGATACTTTACATGTGAGACATGTCAGAATTCATTTCGTTCTGGAGGTAAGTCATATTCTCTACTGTTACAGTAACCTTCTGCCTTGTGTTGCTCTTGGGCCTTGTATTAGTTGGACATTTGCAAAGAATTATAATCAAGTCAGAATCATTTCAATAAATGTTCTGCATTAATAATAATAATCAATGACTTAAAGTCCCATCATCAGAACTACCATTCTTTCAAAAAACAATGTTTGACAAGAATTACAATATTAGCCAATTTTAAAAAATATATACAAAAAAAAAAATTATTAAAAAAACAAAAAACAATTGAGATACTATGTACAGGGTATTTCACATAAATTGATACAATTTCATAATCTAATAACTTGACGAGTCTTAAATTTTAACAGCATGTGTAGAAACATAAAATTCTGTTTTTTTTTCTTTTCAGGTATGAAAAATGCCATTTACTGGAAAAAGAAAAGGCGTTTTGTGTGTTAGAATATGCTCAAACACAGTTGGACAAAACTGTGCAGCATGCAATTGTGAGAGAATTTGCTAAAATTCACCAACTGCAATGCAGTTTTGAATATGGCACAAAAAGATGCAAAGAGGAAGGCTGTCTGTGAACGGCAAAAAGATTGGCAGGAGGTGGACTACTGATATGGCAGGTGCCATGTCACAGGTGGTGAGTGTATTTGAAAACTTAGTGTGTTATGGTCAAATTGGTGGCTGGTGTCAAAAAAAGACCTTCAGTGTATTGTTAACTGGGGCAAAGGATGGCTTGTTAATTTTAATGCCTTCAAAACTAGATGGTCTTTACAGTACCAATAGACAAATATAATATAGAAAAAATGTTTTGGAATAATAGATTTCCAATGCGCTCAAAGCATCACACAAGAAAAATGATAGTTTAAGGTAATTTGGGGCCTGAAATAAAAATGGGTGACGTTTCAGAAAAAATAATCATTTTCCTCTTAAATTAATGACTGCAATATTAATAATTAATATTCATGGTCTATCAAGGCTATATAAAGAAAGCAAGTCAGAGATTGCCAACAACCAAAAAACCCCAAATTCAATGTCTGTGATTGAGAAAGCATGCAAAAAATAGACCAATCAGATGATGAGAATAATTCAAACTTCAAAAAAAGAAAAAAAAAATTATATAAAAGATTCAATGCAGAAGGTTTGAGAATTTTTCAGGACAGACATTTATTTATTTCAAGCTAATACAAAACTTTTTCTCTCCTTCAATGTATGATGCTGTCACTTAAATGTTCTTGTTGTAGTGCTCCAGTCACTTCTTGAAAGCCTCCTCAAATGAAGGTGTCTAGGATTCTTGACACAGCCTCTTTAATCTGCTCCACATTCTCAAAACACTAACGAATAAGTGATCTTGATCTTTTCATAAGTATCTGCAGTGTTTTTGATCTAACATAAAACTTCATTAGAAACCTATGAAATGAACCAGACTGCTTATACCATGAGGATGTGGTTGTTTTTATTTACACTATTTACATGGTTTGGTCTGTTGTCCTCATCTTTACTGCAATATTCACAATGTTTCGGCCATTATACACTTCAGCCTTCTTCAAGTGTTACATCGGAATTTCAAATTGAATCCTTTATTTAGTTCATGGGGATAGATTGTTCTAGTTCCACATGCCATGCCTTTTCTGGATATCTCAGTTTCAGTTAATTCCCTTTAGTAACTCAACTCTCCAAGTTTTTGTTCACCTCTGCTGTGCCCAGGTATTGAACTCACAACTCTTTGGGTCAAGTCACTTTTGAATTACTTAAACCAATGCTTTTAACCACTGGGCCATGTGTCCTTGATCGTTTTTGTTTAATGGTAGATCAACCTCTATTGGTTATTTAATGCTGAAATCTAAATATTTTGTATGTGATTTTATTTTATTTTTGAAGATAATAATGGTCTAGTGATACAAGTTTTAATAATTAACCCATAGCTAGAGGGAGAAGAAGTGGATTCATACCTTTCTTTAAGGATATTTTCATGTAAGTGAATATAACAAACCCAACTGAAATTGGAACTCAGCTGTTCGATTAACAATTCCAAGCCATTACCCATTACATCAGTTGCAAATCCGTGCTTACAGCACCTGGTATTCCCAAGAGGTCACTCATTTAGGTACTAACCAGGCTTGGCACTGCTTAACTTTGGTGATTGCACAGGAACCAATGTTTCAATGTGATGTTGCTGTAAGTTAAGCTTGAGGATGTGGAGGAGACACTTTCACATTGGAGGGGCCACAAAAGGACCCTTAAGAAGTCGCAGTAGCACTACAAGAAGAGCATTGAAGTCGGACAGTCATACTTAGAAGATGCTTTGTATTAATTTATTATTTCATTTCTGAGATGAGTGACTGTCAATATTCTTTTATTATCTCAAACTATTCTTCTCATCTTGGGTGATAGAGATGTTGTTATAGACACAATGTTTCAACCAAGTACCCTCTAGTCATCATCATTATCAGGTGTCCATTGGTTGACTGATATCGGATGTCTGTTGATTACTGTGATATTTTGTCCTTTTTTTTGGTCCTTTTCTGCTGAATTGGTGCATCACTACCAGATCCAAGTATTGAACTCAGGACCCCTAGATGGAAGTAACACATGTATAAACAACTCCTATATCCACCATCTTGAAGGACATGGGTGTGTTTTTTTGGAGCCTTTTATATTCAATATCAGACGGTTTGGGATATTTGGTTATGATATCAAAATTATTATCATGTTGTTCTATAACATGTATATCAAGCAAGATGAGAACAATTGTTCGAAATAATACAAGAATATGTTTTGTATTGTTTTGAAATAAATAAATATCTCTTCTGAAAATTCCCCCAAAATCTGGAGAGCACTTTGAATTTGTTCTAACATGCATGTTGTCTAAGTAACAAGAGATTGTGAATACGAAATGAGAGAGAGAGAGAGAGAGAGACAGAGAGAGATAAGCGGTTTACATGCTTTGCTAGATAAATAGATAAATGATAGAGGGTCTAAGAGAAGGTTCATTTAAGGTGGGCATACTGCACCTGGGGTGGAGGGTCCAGTCTGAAGGGACGGCCAGGGGACTACTGGTGAGAGAGAGAGAGAGAGAAAGACAAAACAGAGGGTGGGACACACATTAACAAAAAGAAGGAAGAGTAAGAGAAATGTTTAAACTATTGGGATTTCTTTTTTTTTTTTTTTGTTTTGAATAGTGCAAGAACATGTTGGGTACAGGTAAAAAAAAAATCAAACAAAAGAAAAAGGTTTTAAAAAAAAGTTACAGAAACAAGAACTTGAAACAAAGAAGCAAAAATATCAGTAAGAGATTATGAAGCCTTCCAGAAAATAAAGGCCAGTTTCAAATATCAGTGTTTTGTTTGTATAAAGTCACTCTAAGACTTATCCTTTTGCTAAACTGTAGCTTATTTTTGCAAGGCAGAAAGAACATTGTTCTATTTTGTAATGTTTCTATATTTCTTCTGGGCAAGAATCTGTATTTTATAGCATGCTACACTTAACACTTTCACTGCTGCATTGTTATAGAATTGTTGACAGAATAGGGTGGGAGATTAACCCTTTCCCTGCTGCACTGTTAATAGCATTATTGCCTGGCTATGCTGGCCTGTTTGGAATAGGCCAGGAGATTAACACTTTCATTGCAGCTTTGTTATAGCATTATTGTCTGGCTGGGCCCATTTTGGGATAAATTGCTGTTTACTGGAAATAATGACTATAAAGAGACTAATGGCAATTTCTTATAAGAGCTGCCATTTTGGTTTTGATCAGATACTTTGCAGTACAAACTAAGCTAAATGTTATCACCGACACACAATATGATAAAAATATGTTATAAAACAGATCATGTTATACATTACTATAGCACGAAGCACTATTTTGTTTATAACACACACACTAAGGGCCGACATTTCAAATTGTTTTGTAAAAGTTGACAGCCAGCAATATAAGTTTGATAAAGATAAATAAGTATGTCTTGAAAAACAAACACAACCATATATATATATATATATATATATATATATATATATATATATACACACATACAGGCAATGTTATTTTTGTGAAGATGTATAAGTATATATTAGACCACCTAAGGAGTGATTCCCAGAGAGTCCTACGAAAGTCTGGAATTGACAAATTAAGATGCTAAAGATAAACTCAATCAGCTAAGTGACAAACCTTTTACTTGTATTATATATATATATATATATATATATATATATATATATATATATACTCTCTGCCCTGAGGGATACAGATTTGATTGCTGTTGAACAGCACAAATTTTTATTTTTTTTAATAGAATTTTGCAAATATTCAGGTTGATAGAGGAAAATAAATAAATATACTGTTTAATAAATAAACGAAGCATTTACATAAATATGAGTAACCACTAAAAATAACATTTAAAGTGATAAAAATATGTCAGATTAATGAAAAACTCATTCAAAAATTATTTTTGTTCATGTTTGGGTGAAAAACTACATATATGAAAAACTTTAAGAGATCTGTTCTTCATGGCCAAGTTAGCAAGGTGTACTGAGCTAAATGGTAGTTTTTGCCAGAGAGCACAAAATTTGTCTTTAATAACATTTCCTGAACATTAAGGCCAATAGACAAAAATAAATAAATATCCTGTTTAATAAATAAACAAAGCACCTACTCAAATATATGAGTATCCACTTAAAATAATGTTTAAACTGATAATATATATATATATATATATATATATATATATGTAAGCAAATGTAAATGGATATAGATCCGACAGAATGAAGAAATTTGGAAAAAACAAAACAAAAATCCTTAAATGCAATTATGTTGTTTAAAATGAATGAAATTTTATTCATTTTAAACAACATAATTACATTAAGGATTTTTGTTTGTTTTTTCCAAATTTCTTCATATATATATATATATATATATATATATATATATATATATATATAGATAGATAGAAAGAGAGAAAGAGAGATAGATAGATATGTTTGGCCTTGTTCAAATTGTTGATCATGCTAGATAACACACTCTCTCCCAGAAACTGTAACTAAGGTCTGCTCAGTATAGTTGCAGTATAAACCACAGGTGGGCTCTGTGCATGTTGAGCAAACACAAAAGTGTGCCTGAGCGAGCATCTGCATTGGCTAGCCTCCCTAGTAGAATGGTATCCTCGAATATGAGTGACCAGCTATTATTTATTTATATATAAAAGTGTGGCAGAAATACCTCTAAAATTTTAAACAGTCACTGGTGTGTGCTAGTGAATTTAGGCAATGGTATCTTTATGTGTTATCATTTTTTTTCCAATATCATCATAGTTTGCACTGGTGCATACCATGCATTTGCTGTTGAAACTTTTTTTAAGACTCGTGAATCTGTAATTGCAACAGAGAGAACTTTTTGTAGCCATTTTGTGTTACATCAGAAGCATGTTGTTCTGGATAGGAAATTGATACTGAAATGGGTTGGAAATTTCAGGGCCCCAGAGTCAGTGCTTAAAGAAAGCCATCTGGAAGAACTTGAAATGCTCAAACTTCCAGGTGATGGAATACTTTAGAAATTGTCTACAACAGTGTATGGCAAATAGAGGCCACCATTTTAAAAACCAAATCAATAAAAATTATAGCCTTTTGTTTGAACAGCAGCAAAATGATTTTTTTTTAATAGCAATTACTGTGGTCTTTTTGCTAACCTTTATAATGTGGGTAGTAATTTTGCTGTTCATATATATCCTGACAAGTGGATGGAGTGATTGCTGGAAGTCTGGCTTTATGAAACTCTAGAGTCAGGATGCTGAGAATAACATCAATCAGTTAAGTGATAAATTTGATGTATATACTAGCTTAAAACCTGCCCTATCAGGCAACATTTAAGCTAGCTCCTGCGGGAGGGGGGGTTCTTGATTGAGCCCTCAGCTTGTTATTATATAAAAGAAGATGATAAAGCTGTTGAAAGTTATAAAGTTGTGTCCCTTTAATTGAAAAAGTGTGACACACCAACATTTTTACATTTATTATATATATATATATATATATATATATATATATATATATATATATACACACACACACACACACACACACACACACACACATTGACATCTGTCTGAATTATTTACATTATTTACTTGCTGTTGTTGTTGTTGTTATCACAACATTTCATCTGTGCATGTTGATCTGAGTAACCTACATGTATTTTCGAACTGAACCCTTTATTTAATTTATGGTAGTAGATTGTTCTCATTCCACTGCCCATGTCTAGGGATATCCCATTTAGTTCTTATTTAGTACTGCTCGGTTATTGCTTGACCCGTTGTTCTGTTGATAGGGGGTGGAAATGTAAATCATTATTATCGCCCAAAAACAATCTAAAAATATTTTCTGGCTTTAAATAAACTGTAAAATGTCAATAAACTGTAATAAACAAATCAATCAATCTAACACATTAATGGAGTCAGTAATATCCTTAGAAACAAAGCAAAGTGTGCTTAACTACTATGTAATATCAGTCCTCCCATACTGAAGTGAATGTTAGAAAATTTGCCCACAGATAAAGAGGAGACTTGAATACAGAATGATTCTACTGACAAATACTGAATACTATGGACAGAACATGTAAGATAGAAATTTGGAGGAAAATAGTAACTAAAAAGACACTTATACTTACAATCAGAATGAGACAACTGAAATTTATTAGGTTTCTAATGAGGAAAGAGAGCATATTGAAAGCAAGAGAAGCAAGATCTTATGACCATATGTTGAAACAGCGGTTTTCATCTGAACACCAAAGTTAAGCAAAACTGAACCTGTTCAGTACTCAGATGGGTGACCGCTAAGGAATACCAGGTGCTGTAAGCCACGCAACAGGCCTAGCAAGCCAGCAATGAATACAATTTCATTATTTATACTAACAGAAAACCTCAATATGTAGAGGTGCCTCTGGACTGAAATGTCACTAGACAAGTTGGTTGAGTGAGTGAGAAGCTAAGGGGAACATGAGTGACCTACTTAATAAGTTTGTGTAAATGGATCGCAGAATAGGGACAAAAAGGGAAGGTATACTGTCAGTAGTTACTTAGAGCAATAAAAGGCAAGAAGATGTGGAGAGCCATGATCGCCTAAATCCTGAAAGGACAAGACACATAAAAGAATAATTTTTTTTGTTTGTAGAAATCGTAAAATTATACTGCTCAATGACAATAACTAAGATCCAAGGACAAGATTTTGAGACGGTTGGGATATATGTTTAAATTATGACAAAATCTGTTTCATACACTTTGCACTAATGCCTTTGGAAAACGAATGGATCCATTCTCTTCCAGCTACTGGTTAAATTAAAACACAAATTCAAGATCACAAAAGATCACTCTTTATCAAGGCCTACAAATGATCAAACCCATTAATAAAATTGAGCAGCTAATGCAGTTGTTCTTAACAGAGGGACACATAGTCACAAGAAGGCCCTGGTAAATTTTATGGAAAATTATAGGAGATTTGGGGGCATGTTCAATGAAAGGGGCTACAGTGCTACAACCCTATTTTAGTTCTAATAAACTTAAATTATGAAACTCAAATGTATTTTTGAGCTTTATTTACAAAATTACTTATGTTTACTTTATGTATTAACTATGTATTATGGAATAATTTTCAAGTGTCTTTTATGTTATAAGTGTGAATTTATGCAACATTTATGTGTAGAACTTTTTTATTTTACATAATTTTATTTCTTTTATTTTGCAGAATTTTTTTAATTTGTGTGTGCAATTACATCCAGAACTTTCTTTTGTCAAAAAATAAAAGTTTATTTCATTTAACTGGTTTGGCTTTTAAAACAAGCAGTTTTGAAGTTAATATGGAGAAATATAACCATTTTTTTTGTTCTGGAAATTGTAAAATGAGCTTTATTTAAAGCAAATGGCTAGAAGGATGTGGGTGCATTAAAAAAGAAAAATCATCAATCAAAAGGATTGGTCATTAAAAAAATCATCACTCAAAAGGGGGCCATGAATAGAAAAAGGTTTAGGACCACTGCTCTAAATAATAGTATCTTTTGATGTTCGTATCTTTTCGGAAAGTTTCTAAATGCTGGTGAACTTGTTCTCTTCTACTTTTAAAACATAATTGTCAACTAGTGGTCATCAAATTTTATGCCTTATTTCAAGGAACAAATTTCAAGGAATAAATTAACAGCCTTAAAATAAACCAATTTTTAGCACTACAATTTCCTTCCACTTCCTTTATTTCCAGGTACAAGTCACTTCTCTTAAAATACTTAAAACAGTTCTGGGCAGTATGGTTAGATATTGTTTCATTTATTTCTACTTCCCTAATTTTTCAAGCCATTTTGAGCCTCAGTTTCAAATAATATTGTTAAAGTAAACGGCTATTACTGGACCATGGAAAAAGCTCATCAATCAAAATGTGTGTGTGTAAATGGGGGAGGGGACATAAATAGAAAAAGGTCAAGAACCACTAATAGAATCTGTGAATAGAAGATCTATCTTTTTATGATCAGAAATATAAAATGTCTATTTTATGGTAGAGTAATAAAATAGACAAGGGAGTCTTCTTGCCTTTTACCAAACTTGGTCAGATAAAATGTATCTTTCTTTCTCTATTTCTTTTGAAAATAAATAGATAACATTTGTCATTAGTTTGAAAAGACAGACGCAATAAATGAATCTACTGGAGTTTAGACATAAACAAGAAACGTTTTTTGTTAAAGAAAGAAAGAGAATTACTAAGACATCTCAAATCCAACACCAGAAAGTGGTCAAGCAGTCAGTAAGCCAAGTAGCCAATTTGATGTTTGGTCAATCAGCAGAGGGTAGTTAAGTTAGTAAGAAGAAAAAAAAATAGCACCGAATGGAAACATTGAGCACCGCCATTTGAGATTCTTACCAAATTCCTACTGCTTTGTTTATGTTCATAACAAGTGAATTCTGAGGAAGTTTTATTTCCGAAACAGAACTAAAATAAAAAAACAACGAATGAAGAGAAAGAAACAAAAAATTAAACTTTAAAGATACGTCTGCAAACAAAATTGAAAGATAGGGAAAAAAATTAGCTTTTGTTTTAATTTAGATGCAACAAAACACGAAAAGCAAATTTTAAAAGATAAAAGCTGGCAAATAATGGGAAATTTTTAAAGAAATGAAAAAAGAAAACAAAACAAAAAGTACTGAATTAGTAAAAAAAAAAAAAAAAAAAAAAGGTAAAAAATAAGTACATGTTTATGTCATCATATATTTCTCAATGTGAAACACTTAAGTTCTCTCTTAATATCAAGGCTAGTGGATAATATTTTCAAAAATGCTGCAAATTTTTAAGTAATAACTTTGAATTATGGGAATTTGAAACACTGGCAAAGCTGCAAATGCAAACTGGGCTCACTATTCTTAGCTGGAATTTAGTATTTATATTGCTGTTGCTTACCTACCAATTGATTATGAAGGCAATTAAATTTTCGGATTATGTTTATTTATACCTTTATTCATTAAAATAATTTCTGCCCTCATTAAAATTTCCCCAAATTCTCAATTTTGAAAAAAAAAAAAAAAAATCTCTTGATTTTTTTTGTTACCCCCACACCATCACAGTAAATGTAAAAAAAGCCTTGGAACATCTATGTATGTACATGCAGCTTATTTTGTAATATTAAAATAACAGAATAACTTTTCAAAGAAGCATAAAGCTTGCAAACAGAAGGTAGTGTTTCCAAGTAGCAAGACTGGAATTGTTTTTTCTATATATAATATACAGTAAAGCAAACATTTTCTTTTCTTGGTATATATGGGGTCTACCATAGTGATAGTTACCAAGCCTCAGTAAAAGGTCTTCTATTGTAGCCCAGCAGAGCATAGGTTAGACTGCTTAATTTAATGACATATCAACACTTGTTGAGCTGTTTAATGGCAAATACAAATTACTATGAAATAATAGAATTGTAGACACAGAATCAGTTTCCTCATAGTCAAAAAGGTGGATGCAGTCAAAAAGTTTGACACAGGTCCAAGTTGCTCTAGTCAAAAAGGGAGACACAGGTCCAGTTTGACCTTGAGTAAAAAAAAAAAAAAAAGAAAAAAAAAGGTAGACAGAGATTCAATTTGCTCAAAGAGCCAAAAAGTTAGACACAGGTTCAGTTTACACTAGAGTCATAGAGGTAGACATGGATCCAGTTTGACCTTGAATCAAAAAGGTACAAACAGGTCCAGTTTACTCATAGAGTAAAAAAGGTAGACACAGGTCCAGTTTGCCTAGTGTAAAAAAAAACACAGGCCTGATTTATAGCTGAGTCTGCAAGTATCCACTTGGATGGTAGATCCTTTTGAGTAACCTCTTACTCTTCTGCTAACAGCTGGGCTTAGTAAATATGTTATTTTGTTTTCCTATTTAACCTAACTCCTGAAATAAACCAGATATCCAAAGTTGTGTTTATAAACGTGCTCAAAAAATTCACCGATTTTTTTTTTCTTTTTTATAATGGTCATTTAAGGCCAAACAAGTTGTCTTCTGGTGAGTATAGTTTTTGCAGATTCTAATATCAAATTTATCACCAAAGTTTATAAAAATGTCCAAACTTTATTGACATGATCAAACAGTCTTTCATTTTGGCCAATAGTCAATTGAAATTGGGAAACATAAGTGAATATGGTAATGCCAAAATTATCTGCTTCCATGCAGGAAACATTTGGCATTCATTGACCGAATAGTTAGTGTTATAAAATCTTATTCTTTACCCCTTCTCCGCCAATTATTTTGGGAAAAACGTTTCATTTTCAGACAATTTTTTAAAATTTGTTTTTAATATAGTAACTAAAAAATTGAGGCAACTTGAAGTACCCAAGTGATGGCTAACACCTCCACCAGATTTATGAGTTCACAATTGGACTTGTCTCAAGCTCAGAAGGGAATAAAAAGAACCAAGATTGACATATAAACACATCTGTAGCTAGTTTTTGAATGTTATGCTTATTCACTTGTGACTGAAAAAAGACACTCTCAGTAAAAACATATATACACGTCTACACCAGGGAAAGGGGCTAAAACAGTTTTTCAGGAAGTCTGACTTCTCAAGTCCACTAATTGTTATAGTTCTTTCTTGTACTGATGGTGGTTTCCTTTCTAATCTTTTGTTTAATGTAGTTAATATAAGATGATTGAGTGACAGGATTCAGGGAAGATTGGATTTATGCTTTATTTGGAGTGAGTTCCATTTCTTCAATTGCACTAATGCTCAATAGTTGTGGACTTATGTCAAACTAAGATCTCCAAAATTACATGTTTTAATTACATCATAATTGTGAGTACAATCCAGACTGGGCAGTGTGTACTTGAACTTGGTGGAAACAAAGCAAGCAATAACTGAGCTATAAGCACTAGACAAAATATCCCTTCACATGGTCAATGGAATGAGAATAATCTAATAATAGAGTCATTTACACTATTTACATTGTTCATACTGTTATCCTCATCTTTGTTGTTATATTCACAATGTTTTGGCTGTTGTACGCTCCAACCTTTTTCTGGTGATTGGAATTTCAAACTGAACTCTTTATTTCGTCCACCAGGGTAGATTGTTCTAGTTCCACGTGTCATACCTCTTCCAGATGTTTCAGTTATCTCCCTTTAACTCAACTCTCCAAGTTTTTGTTCACCTTTGCAGTAGCCAGGTATTGAACTCTGGTCAAGTTACTGGATACAATCAATGCTTTTACCCACTGGGTCATGGATCTAACAATAAAGGGTTAGAGTCTGTCTATATTTCTGAGATGAGGTATTATGTACACTATTTACATTATTTGGACTATTGTCCTCATCTTTGTCGCCATATTTATGACAATGTTTCGGCCTTTCAGTATCTGTCTATATTTCTGAGGTGAGGTATTATGTACAGTATTTACATTAGTCGGACTATTGTCCTCATCTTTGTCGCCATATTTGTCACAGCGTTTGGCGTTTATGCGCTTCGGGCCTTCTTCAGGTGGTTGGAATTTCGAACTGATCCATCAAACATGGTACATGGAACTAGAAACGGTCTACCCCAGTGATTGAAATAAAGGGTTCAGTTCGAAATTCCAACCACCTGAAGAAGGCCGGAGTGTACAACAGCCGAAACGTTGTGACAAATATGGCGACAAAGATGAGGACAATAGTCCGACTAATGTAAATACTGGAATAAAGGGTTAGTTTGAAATTCCCTGAAAGTTACCTAGATCGACAAACACCTAATGGAGACCGATAACAATGACAACAAACAACAAAGATATGAACAACAGTTAGCATGTAAATAATAATTCCTCCTCTCAGAAATTAATTTTTTTTCTTAGTGAGTGAAGGAGCCTGCTTTTTTTAATCTTTGTCATTGTAAAGTTTTAAATTTTTTTCTACAGGATACATTGACTGAACAGTTAACATTACTGTCAATTGAAATTTATAAAATCTCTCCCATAAAACAATTTTTCAGGAAGTTAGATTTCTTAAACATCTTGTATAGGATAGTCACACTCCTCCCCAGTCCTTTGAACAGGTGTAGAGGTTTATCCCTTGTTTATTGTTTAGGCTTATGTTTCTGGATCCTTTTAAAATCTGCTTCAACTCTATACTTCTAATATCTCTGCCTGAACTCAGAAATTTTATATATTAATTATTTTTTTCTCTCCTCAACAGGAGTAGATATTTTTGCCTCTCATCCAGTTTATACTGATCCCTGGCCTTTTGAACAGAGTAGAGGTTTATCCCTTGTTTCTCGTTTAGAATTAGGATTCCAGTTCCTTCTAAAGTCATTTCATTCTCTTTCACTCCCAGTAGCTCTTTGCATCTTAGGGGCATTATTACCTTGCTTGGGATGAATAGAGGAGTAGAGGTTCATCCTTTGTTTCCTGTTCAGGATTGGGTTTCTGGTTCCTTCTAAAGTCTTTTTTATACTCTTTCACTCCCAGTAGCCCCTTGCATCTTAGTGGCATTATCACCTTGCTTGGAGTGAATAGAGGAGTAGAGGTTTATCTCTTGTTTCCTGTTCAGGATTGGGTTTCTGGTTCCTTCTAAAGTCTTTTTTATACTCTTTCACTCTCAGTAGTCCCTTGCATCTTAGTGGCATTATCCCTTTGTTTGGGGTGGATAGAGGAGTAGAGGTTTATCCTTTGTTTCCTATTTAGGATTGGGTTTCTGGTTCCTTCTAAAGTCTTTTTCATTCTCTTTCACTCCCAGAAGCCCCTTGCATCTTAGTGGCATTATCACCTTGCTTGGGATGAATAGAGGAGTAGAGGTTCATCCTTTGTTTCCTGTTTAGGATTGGGTTTCTGGTTCCTTCTAAAGTCTTTTTCATACTCTTTCACTCCCAGTAGCCCCTTGCATCTTAAGGGCATTATCACCTTGCTTGGGATGAATTGATTAAAGAAAAAGGTAAAGAACATTTCTTACACGTTTAATATCCATATCAGCATAATTTTATTTAGTAGAACAAAACAATATTTACTTGGTTTAAAATCAAGGCATAATTAAATATGCAATGCTCCAAAAATAACTGACTCTTCAATAATTTGACATTTTTATATGTGGCGGCATGAAGAGAAAACGATTAAGCACTTTATCTTTCCTGGTTTTGTTTTTCCTGACATGTTTCTGAAGACAGGAATAAAAAGAAAGTTTTCTGTTTTTAATCGGCAGAATTAAATTGTTTTCCCCAATAATATATCTGCAGACAGAATAAAATTTAAGCATTTTTGGGAAACACACTCTAATTAAAATGGTGAGAATAGCTGTTTCCATGCAGGAATACTGTTGGTATTACTGTTGGTTTAAATGTATAAAAGTCCTTCTCTTGAAATGGTTTTTCATTAAAATAAACTTTTCAAGTCCGTTGTTGTTACTCTTTTCAGTACTGATGGGCATTTCCTTCGTAAACTTTTGTTTTAGGTTGTATGGAAAGCCAACATCATGATTATATTATTATTCTCCCTTTTCTATCCATTTTAGTTGTTGTCACTATTGGAAGTCTATACGTGATGTGATTCTTGTTTCATCTTATTTCAGTTGCTTTTTAACACAACTTTCAGACCATTATGCTTTAACACTTAAATCAGAAACACGAGTCATAAATAATGAATGGTAATGGTGAGATTAGCTGTTTTCATGCAAGAAATATTTGACATTCACTGATGAAATAGTTAATGGCATTTGAAATTTATAAAGCCTTTTTAACATGTTGACTCCCAAAAGTCAAACACGAAATTTGACTTCAAAGGTCAACTTTCTAATAACTGACTTAGGCAATAAAGAATTTTTATGAGTTTATTTATAGCTTCAATTGAAGTCTTAGCATTATTTTTACACTAAAAGTATGACTGCGAATAAATTTGTTGGCATGAGAAAACTCGTGGTCATATCAAGAAAATTGTTTGAAAATATTTATTCGAAAACAATTATTTGAAAATTATTTATTCAAATCATAAATTGTTTGAATGAAAATGAATTGAAAGGACAGTTATACTAAATGGTAGTTGTTTGAAATATGTGTGTGGTCTTGCTTTGAGAGAGTCGATTCTGATTTATGTAGAATTAATAACACCCTTAAAGGGCTTTTTTCCAGCAAGTGTCATCCCATCACCTCACAATATTGAAATTCTTAGACACTTTTAAAAGAGAACAGGACTTGCAAGAAATTCATATTGCAAAAGGAAGAACAGGTTGTCAAAATATCAAGAGCACCAAGAAATACCACAAAGTAAATGGAAAACTTAAAAACTAAGTGGCATCTTTTAAAGAAGTACTCTTCAGTAGTTGATTATTTGCATGCAGTATCATATAATTTAAGGTTACAAAGATTTTTTTTTCTTACTAAATTGTTTTATTAATGATATTTGTATTTCCTCTTTTAATTTTTACATTTTTATTGCAATAAAGAATTTTGCATTTCAAATAATTATCATTTAGTATGATTGTCCTTTCGATTAATTTTCATTCAAACAATTTACAATTCAAATAAATGTTTTTTGAAAAATTATTTTCTAATAATATTCACATAATCACTCGTATTTGGCAGTTTTTATTATGATACAGACTATGCATTATCATGTGGTTGGCAATCAATGTGTTAATAAAACCGTTTTTCACACAAAAAAAGGCTTCTTAAGTCAATTAACTGTTATAGCTCTTTCTAGTATAGATGGATGTTTTCTTGCTAACCTTTTGTTTAAGGTAGTGTGGAAAATCAACATCTTTATTATATCATTATTTTCCATTCTGGTTATATGCACTACCCATTTTAGTTGTTGCTGCAGTTGGAAGTTTTCAAGTGACATGGTTTTGTTAATTGGTGAAGGACTTTGTGATTTCGTTGCACTGGTCTATATGATCTGTTGAAGAGTCAACATTTTTTAAGAACAAATGGAATTAGTTATTACTAATTTTTTTCTTCTGGAAAAAAAAATAGTACCACAACCCTATTTAAAATGTACAAGTCCCATAAAAATACGTCAGACTTCATGAATCTCAGGTCAAAGATACATTTGAAGAAGAAATGCTAAAAGCCTTGATATTAACAGTGAGTTTAAATGTCAAAGAAATATAAAATTCTGTAAAAGAAATGGCTAAATTTCTTTCTTTTTTATACAATTTTCATGAATAAAATACATAAAAAAGAAAGTAAATAATTTTGTTTAGGTATCATTTCTGACATCAGGATATAGACCAGAGGACAGGCATTTAGTTTATACAGTGTGTGTATATGTGTACATGAGAAAGAGAGCTCAAAAGAGTGATATGTAAAATGTCTCTCAATAGTGGGGGGAGATCCTTCTTTTTTTTCTGTCTGAATATCTGAGATGAGGAGTTATCATTATTTACACTATTTACATTAGGACTATTGTCCTCTTTTTTGTTGTTGTTATCCCAACATTTTGGCTATTGTGGCCTCTGACCTTCATCAGTTGTATATCACTCTGGGAAACATGCAGGGAATTCCTAACTGAACACTTTATTTAATTTTGCCCAGTTCTTATTCTTAGTACTGTTCAATTATTGATCACCCTGTTTTCACTGAGCTAAATTACACACTGATCAGCCCAGGGTTTGAACTTGTAGTTACTATATTACCAAATTCATAAAGCAATGCTTTATTCAGGCTATTGTCCCTAAAGCACAGCAATAATTCGAGCAGTTCTAGTTACTATATTACCAAATGAATAAAAACTAGATGAGATATCCTTAGACATGGGCAGTGGAAGGAGGGCAGTCTAACTGCATAGATTAAATAAAGGGTTCAGTTTGGAATTCCCTGTAGGTTACCTGGATTGATATGCATCTGATGAAGGCTGGGGATAAACAACTGAAAGGTTATGATAACAACAACAAATATGAGGACAATAGTCCAAATGTAAATAGTGCAAGTAAATATCCTTTTTTGCTTGCGTGAAACCAATGGTGATTTTCTAAGCATGGCTTAGATGTGGCACAAGGCCAAAAGTAGGGGGCACCGAGTGAGGATCGAATTCACTGTTCAATTATAACTGATCTAGTGAGACAAGCTTGCTAATCATTACACTGCAGTGAAATGTTCAACTTCACTAATCCAAGTATTGAATCTGGTATTAACAAAAGAATTGATTTTCAAACTGAATGTGTGAGATTAAAAAAAGAAAAACATTGAAATTGTATTAAAGTTACTTATATTTGTCAAACCTTTGCACAATTAGGGAAAAAAAAACAGATATAAGAATAATTTCTATACACTCTATTGGGCTTTAGATATACTTGAAAACTTCTAGCCTGTAAGTAAAAATAATTGTAGAAATTTATAAGCAAAAATTGGGTGCGGACAATGTTTTGAAAATTTATTGCTAAACATTTTACTAATTCACTGGAATTGAAAAAATTATTCAACAGAAATAATATGAAAGTAAGCTATAGCTGTACTCATTTTGTGATTGTAGTGTTGTCTTTTCCATTCATCCTTGGTAGTTCCTACATGGTATTTACTCTCTCCACCACTGATTGCCTTAGCTTTGTAGACAATGTCCCTTACCAAACACACTCCATATAATGATCTCAACTGTAATTCAAACTCAGCTTTCTGATTCTTCAATCTGAGATGCTATCCATTATTCCACCGTACCTCCCTCTCTCTCTCTCTCTCTAGATATATATATATATATATATATATATATAATTGATTAGACAAATATACAATAAACAACTTAAGGGGGTGCCTCATAGAGCAGTGGTTAATGAATGTATCTTGCAAGCTATTTGCTTTGTTAGTGTTGTGAGTTCAACCCTCAATAAATACCCAACTCCTGTAGCATCGCAACAGATCAAGCTTTGGAAATACTTACAAGCTATTTCTTTCTATATAAATAAAATCAATGTCTGTTGCTTTGTAACACAGAAAACATGTCATGATGTTTTTAGATTTCCTTTTCCATATGGTGCTTAAATGTACAAAAATATCATGGGATAGCTAAAGTATGGATAGCCAAAAAGGATAAAACTCAATATTATCAACCATGGCATAAGTATATTTCCCACTATGAAAACACTGCCCCATATGACAGATGACACTGTATATTTTTTTTTTAAACTAATGTTCACCCAGTACTGGGCTCAAGAACCACTGAAGGTAGAGGACTATTGAATGCAGTGTGCAAAGCCTAAATCAAGCTTAACAGAAAAGTAAGATCACGATAATGATTTTGGAAAAGGTGTCAGGTGACATTGAGTGGTGGATGTGGGATTTGGGGAATAAAATACTGTGAATTTTCCAAAGTAAAAATCATTTATATTCTCTAGCACAGATGCACAAAATTATCGCATACATGAGGTCTGTCTGGGAGAACAGACAGCCATTTTAAATATCTTGAGAACTAGTTGTGCAGCCTTGATATAACATGGCAACCAACCAGAAAGGACCTTAGTGGACATGCCTGGACAGATACACTCCTCTAGGGTTACTCAGCCAGCTGTGAGACACCAATAAATAAGTTTGTGCACTGTGTGTCTGATGTGCTCACAATGACTAGGTGCTTGTATTCCTCATATCTTATGCAGGGATTTTGGGGAAAAACATTGCATCACCCAGGTTTGTCAGCCCCACTCCATCATATAGTCCAAATGTGGCTTCCTGTGACCTCTAGCTTTTCCCCAAAGCTAAAACCACCCTTGAAAGATTATGGATGAGTTTAGGGAGAATGTAATGAGGCAGATGAGGGTGATCTTTGCAAACTATTTTGAAAAGTGGAAGAGATGCCAGTATAAATTTGACATCCAAAGACAAATTTTGGAGTGCAATGGGTAAGCTATGTTTTAATTCATATTAAATATTTACATTGTTCGGTCTGTTGTCCTCATCTTTATTGCCATATTCACAACATTTCGGCCATTGTATGCTCCAGCCTTTTTCAGGTGATATTTCTTGGAATTTTGAACCAAACTCTTTTAGTCCATGGGGATAGATTGTTCTAATTCCACATGCCATGCCTTTTCTGGATATCTCAGTTTCAGTTAAGTCCCACTGATAACTCTCCAAGTTTTTGTTCCCTCTGCTGTGGCCAGGTATTGAACACGCAGCTCTTTGGGTCAAGTCACTTTTGGATCAATCAATCAATGCTTTTATCCACTGGGCTATGTGTCCATCATGAATATGGCAATAAAGATGAGGAGAACAGTCCGAATTGTGTAAATAGTTACAATACCTCATCTCAGAAATATAGTTATATTAAATAGCTGGATACTTCCCAAACAAACCTCATATATGCCTGAAACACACACACACATACACACACATTAGATATGCTGCATAAATGATCTATTTTCTTACCTCGGTGGTGTAATAACACCGAATTTTGGTGAGGGAACTGGTTTGGACACAGGCAGAGACATTGGGAAGCTGCGTCGAGGTGGGGGCCGCAAGTTGGAGTAGAAAGGAATGGGATTAAACCTGTCAGACAATTGAAATGAGCAGATATTACGAATTCACAAGTAATGGTAACAAATTTTTTCAAAGTACTTTCAGAGTAATTTAACACAATAGCAACAAATGGTAATGTTAATGGTGAAACTAGCTGTTTCCATACAGGAAACATTAGCATTCATTCACTGAACAGCTAGCATTATTGGAGGTTGAAAATCTTTCTTAAAACAATCTTTTCAGGAAATTAGACCTCCCAAGCCCAGTAACTATTATCATTCTTTCTACTAATGATGGAAGTTTCCTTCCAAACCTTTTGTTTTTGGTATTGTGGAAAGTAACATCTTCATTATGTCATTATTTTTTCTTTGAGTTACATGTGGTATCCATTTTGCTGCTGTTGGAAGTTTTCAACTGTTGTGTTTTTTTTATTTGGTAAAAAAACTTTCCTTGCATTTCTATGGTGCCAGTCCATAAGATCTGATGAACGGCTGTCTTCATTAAAACATAAAGGATTCATTTGCTTGAAGCTATTTCTGATCATTAATCAATGATAGTTTAGACATTTCTGAAAGAATTGGATGTACCTCATGACATCCAAATGAGAATCTAAAACTGACAAGGCTATTTAAGAATATTACTCAAGATCTTAGGCTAATGTTTTGGTTTTGTTTCTATGGATTGTTTGGTTTCTATATGATAGAATTATTCCGAAATTCATTCGGGAAACATTTGCATCCAGCTTCTTACAGCCATTTGCTTTTCTTGGCAGAGCATCTATTATGACAATGTAGGATACTTAATAACAAAAATGATAAAAATATGAACAAAAAAGAAAAAGAAAGAAAGTAAATGAAATTGGCTCAACTATATACTCAAACACATAAAGAAAAAATTTTTTTAAATGGCTGCTGTTGAAAGTTGGCAAGCAATGTGGTTTTTGGTAAAGTTCTTTGTGATTCTTTAGTGCCAGTTTACAGTGTCTGATGAAGGATTGTCTTCTTTGAGAACTAAAGCTTTTCTAACCATTGATCTGAGAAAACAGTTGCATATAGATGATAGTTTAGACATTTCTGAATGAATCTGATGTCATCTATGACATCCACATGAGAGTCTGGATCTGACGAGGCTGTTTAAGAACATGACTCTCTAAATGTAGTGATTGTCTAATTTAAATATGTGAAGAATGGAGACTAAATATCAACCACATTTTTTTCTAGAGTAAAAACAATTGCATTTAATTTCTCTTATAAAAATCATTTTTCAAGTATTCCTATAGAAAAAACACCTCCATTTAATGTCATAAAATAATTTTTCAAACAAATCTATAGTAAAAAGAGCCGTGTAAGATTTCTATCATAAAAATCAGTGCCAATGTACTTCTATAATAAAGAAGATCTTTTGCAAAACAAGACACAATTTCTACTTGTCTATTAAGGGGTATAATAATATGAATATATTATTAAAGCCAGACTCTGTTCTACTGGTTGCACTTTTTAAATGGTATGATTTGCAGTCATCATTTTGCAGTCGCTGTTGTACAAACAAAAATTGTGACCATTTACACTTTAACAATGGGCGAATTTTAAGACATCCTAAGAGACACTGCATATGATTTTTAACTCATCCATATATTATGTCGACTTTAGTGTATAAATAAATATTCTATTTTTGAATGATACATGTTTTATGTTTCAATCTTTTTGATTACTACTCATTGAACATAAGGGTATTAAATGATTTACTACTATTGAATAATTTCTTTTATTTTCATTTCAGATTGGCAATACTAGTGAAATTCAATCAGCAAAATTACATCAATTTTAAAATTGAGTGCCCAAAAGCAAAACCCAGCGATACCTAGAATATTTAAAAATTTTTATAACACTAAAACTTTACTAAGTACGAGATATCAAAAGTTTTACATTTAATTTTAAAATAAATATCATTTTACATTTTAATTTTAAATTAATTTTAATTTTAAATTAAATATCATACTAAATTCATTTTAAATTAAATATCATTACACTAAATTAATTTTAAAATTTTTATGTAAAATTAATTTTAAATTAAATACCATTATCCTAAATTAATTTTAAATATTATTTACAATAAATTAATTTTAATTTTAAATAATTTTAATTTTAAATAATTTTAAATTAAATATAAATTAAATTTAAATTTCATTTTAAATTAAATATCATAAAACAAAAAATACTTTCATTTTAATATTTTTTTTAAGTTAAACATAAATATAAGTTAAATATAATTATCATTTAAAAAAAAATCACAATTTAAACAATTTTCTTTAAAATATATTTGAAAAATATGCAATTTTAGAAAAAATAAGCCTCAAAAGTCTATTTAAAGACTTATTCATGAAAAAAAAAAAAAAATATGACCATTTGTTTTTTTTAAACAACTGTAGTATTGCAAAGTATTCATAAATCCCTTCCCAAAACTGATTGTTCTTTTGATAATATGAGTGACTGTCAAACAATGACTACAAAAATCATTTCTAACTCTTTTATAACTGGTTTATATTAATTCTGTGAGGCAAACATACAAAGAGATGATAAGAAATAAGAAGATGAAATAAACTTACAAAGGTGCTTCCTTTGCTTGGTCATGCAACGGGTGTTGTTGGTAGTGACCAAATACTTCAAATACCAGGTGTTGGTTCTTGATGTAGTCAATAAATGACTTGGTTACTGTTACTGTGAACTGAAAAAAAAAAATATACATATAACCAAAATAAATGAAGCTATTAGTAAAGCATCGAAGAGTAACGCTACCGATACTAAGCCTGCCAAAAGAAAAAAATAAAAAGACCAAAGAAAAAGAAAGTCCAAGAAAAAAAAATGACAAAAAAAAAACGGCCAACACTTAGATGCACTAAAACCAAAAGTGCTCAATTCCTCTAGAATTTAAACTAAGATAGAACATTAGCACTAAGTACCAAAGAGAACTTAGAATTATGATCCAAATCATAATCCCTAAGTTTTGCACTATGGCAATCATCAGATAACAAGACATATAGTAAACTGATAAAACTAATAACAACGAAATGTAATAAGCAAGTTATCTTTTGCTGAAAAAAAAAAAAAAAAAAAAAAAAAAAAAAGATTTAAATTGTATATATATATATATATATATATATATATATATATATATTCACTTTTTCTCATGTTCTCACAAAAATACATAATTTGGTGTTATAATCATGTTTATTTCAATAATAAAAAATCTACGAAAAAAAGCCTAAATTTTCCAAACCTGACTCTTGTTTTATTTTTTTAATCATTTCATCCCAAGCAAGGCAATAAAGCCACTAGGACAAAAGGGGTTACTGAGTGTTAGAGAATATGTGAAAAATATACAATTAAGGAGAGAGGACAATAAAAGAACAAGAATTAAGATAAAAGATAACAATTGACATTGCATTGAAATTTTGGAAGATCAAAGTTGGCTGGGAAGCAAGAAGCCAGAAGAGAGTTCCACAATCAATAGAAGAAACTGTTAGCATAGAACTTGAGATCTTTTGTGACATACTCTCAGCTATTTAAATGAAAACAGGATCCAAGTGTTCATAAAGATGGTAATGTTCAAATAGGTCAGGATTTTGTTTAAATTTCAGGGACGAGGAGTTATCATTATTTATACTCAGACTAATGTCCTGATCTTTATTGTTACCATCACACCATTTCAGTCATTGACTGTTGATTGCTTTTGTTTAATGGCAGATCAACCATTATGGGTTATTTAATGCCAAACTCTAAATAATTTTATGCAAATTTTATTTTTATTTTTTGAAGATAATAATGCTTTTAAGGATACAAATTTTACTAATTAGCCCATAGCTAGGAGGGGAAAGAAGAAGTGGATTCATACCCTTTCTAAGGGTATTTGTGCATAAATGAATATAACAAACCCGACTGGAATTGGAACTCAGTCCTCCAATTAACAATTCTGAGCCTTTATTCATCACATGACCTGAACATCCAAGCTTACAGCACTTAGTATTCCCAAGCAGTCACTCATCTAGGTACTGACCAGGATAGATATTGCTTAACTTTGGGGATTGTACTGAAACCAGTGTTTCAACATGATGTGGCTGTAAACCTCAGACATTGAGTTCTCTAGCCTTCTTCAATTGTCTGTTGATACAGATAACCATCATGGAATTTTGAAGTGTATATTTCGAAATTATTGTGTTAATAAAAAAAATCAAGTAAAAACCTAAATTTTCAAAGTCCGACTTGAGACCTTTTGTGATATACTCTCAGATGTTTAAATGAAAAATGGAATCCAAGAGGTGGTAATGTTCAAATGAGGCAGGATTCTGTCTGAATTTCAGGGATGAACAGTAATCATTATTTACCTGCAGCTTTTTGCATAAAAAATTGATCATAAAAAGTTGCACCATGCTGGAGTATATATGGTAAATGAAAATAAAAATTACTATGGAATTCTATAGTATATGTGGAAGAATCCAGGTGAAAAAAGTCACAGGAAAGAAAGAAATAGGACAAGATTAGCAACCAGCAGACAAAATCCCAGCCTCTTTTTTATGTGCATATATATATATATATATATATATATATATATATATGTGTGTAAAATATATATATATATATATATAAATATATATATATATATATATATATATATATATTATATGCACGGTATTTTATTAGAAAGTGCTCAATATCAGAGATAGAGCTAACTATCCAACCAAATATATATATATATATTTTAAAGTAGTAAGAAAGAACAGTAAGATTTATAATCCGGTGTTCTTAGCAGTTATTTTTATTTTTAAAAAACAGGACTCAATACAAAGAGTTGAGCAAAATATTAATAATAAAAGAATCATATTTTAAAAAAAAAAAATAAAATATATATATATATATATATATATATATATATATATATATATATATATATATATATATATATATATATATAAATGAATCAAGGAAAAAGTCCAAGGAAAACCAGAAAAGAGGACATGAAATTTCTTCTTTTTTTTTTTTCCTTGGGAGAATTGTAACTTTTTTCTGGGATTTTATTACTGGTCACAATGTGAACGGGCAATGAATGAGAAAATAATTGACTCAATTCTTTGCTGGGACATTGGTAGGAAAGTAAATATAACCATTATTATTTATGACAGAGGGGAAACAAATACAGCAACTCCAATGTCTTGAGTCATAAGTAATTTTTGCTTTCAAGAACAAGTTCTAATATTTTGAAGAATAAAGTTTATAGAGTGAAACAAAAATTATACCTATCCCCAAATTTAGTCACCTTTCAGAATATGATAGCTAAGCCAACTTGTCTTGAAGACAATTCTTGCTCAGTGTTGTTATGGCCTTTTGCCTAACTCACCTAAACTTTGTAAATAATGATAGGCAAGAACTTACATTCTGTACGTGGTAAAAGCCAAGAGGAGGTCCTTTTCCAGTGTTCTTCAATGGCTCTGTGGAGAAGGCTTCATCATGTCTGTGAAGGAAGCTGGATGTAAAAAAAATAAAACAAATGCATAAAAATCAAACATTACAAAATTATAAATATGATGGCATGGGCATTCAGCATTTCTTTTTAAGTGAGGGATCAATTTTGTTTATCAAACAAGTAATAAAATGATCCCCCAGTAAATGATTCTAAAAAATAAAAAAAACAAGAATTAAACTAGATAGCATAGTTAAGAGCATATCTTTACTATTAAGCATGATCATAGACAAAAGTTGTGTTAGCTATATCCTGGCATTTATACACATAATTAAATATAAAATGTAGCATTCCAAAAAATGCCATGATATAGCTAATAAAAATTTAGTCTATGATACTGAAAACATTTAGTTCTTGACAATTAAACATACCCAAACAAAAACAAGAAAACCATGAAGATGGACAGCTTATCCACAATTTTACTTTGGATGTGTGACAAATTTATTTGAAAATTGAAAAAATTAATAGAAAAAAAATTAAACAAACAGGCTTTATCAGTTGAATTGAATAAAACTTGTTCAAGTATATATTCCCACAATTGTAAAGTTGCTTCCCTGTGCCTTTTCTATAAATATTTTTATAATAATTGTTTGGGTGAGCTCTTTGCTATGCTACCTAGACTTTCTGAATTTAATCACAGTACTAGACTGGCAAAAAGGTCTCATCAATTTACAGTTGAGCTGGTTAGATGTAACTATAAATTCTATGCTAACAGTTTCTTTTCTTACACTTCTTGCTTGTGGAACTCTCTTCCAACTCCATGCTTTCCAGTTAACTTTAATCTTTAATCTCCCAAAATTTAAATAAAATGTCATTCGTTATCTACTGTCTTTCTGATTACTGTTCTATTGTTCTCTCTCCCCTTAGTAATATTTGTGTTTTCTAATTTTTCTACTTACTAGGGGTGAATTCAATTTATATATATATATATATATATAATTAATGTGGACATGAAAATCAATATCCAAAGTTGATTTCAACCTCCATACTGTTTTTGGACCTATGTCACATACAGAAAGATGCATTTTCTTATGCTCAAAAAACACCACACAGTAAACATCTACCTTGAGTGGCTCTTGGGCCTTGTATTGAGTGAACATTAGCATTAAAAAACAATCACTATCCACATTGAGTACTCTTTCATTATAAATGTAGCAAATTTTACACAATTACCATATATACTTGCATATCATGTGACCTTTGAAGACCTAATTTTGAAGCTAAGTTGACTACAGTAAATGGATATATAGTTTGGTCAATGGCATAGCCAGGGCCAATGGTACATAGGCTAATTTTATGTCTCATGTATGATGCTACCCACTTAAAATTAGCATCAAAATTAGGTCTTCAAAAGTTGCATATGTGAGTATATACGGTATATAATTTTAGTTTAAACACAGTACATTTAAGCAGTAACCCTTCATTCAGACATGTTCAATTAAACAGAACAGACAGGGCTGGTGATTTCTGAACTTTCAATCTTCCTTCCTTGAAAACAACCAATGATGGTGAGAGAAAGTACTGAGATATCAACATTTCTTGCTGCTCTCTTATTATTTCCATGGCATGCATTCTAACAAGCTACATTCCTTAATCCCACCAACCCTGACCTTTACAACTGAGACCCACCACCCCATGTACACAAGGATGAATCATCCTCATTTCCATTAGTAAGGAAGGAGTTGCACTCAGACAGCTTCTTTTCCCAAAAACCACTGCTTTGACCTCTTCAAGTCCAGTGTTACTCATTATCTTTCCGGCATAGCACCACTTACATAAGAGTGAATCATCCCCATTCCCTTCGTCTTCCATTAGTAAGGAGTAAGTTCCACTTGGACTGCTTCTCTTCCCAAGAACTGCTGCTTTGTGGAACAAGCAGGATGTTTTCTCTAATCAATACAATCTTGACCTCATCAAGTCTAGGGTTAACTGTTATCTTTCCTGCATAACGTCATGAACGTCACTTTTTTGTCTTTTGTCTTTTTTTTTTGCTCATACAATACTACACAGTAACTTATGCGATGCTAACGAACACTTGTTGTCACCTTCATAATGCTCATTGTAGTAAAGACTTTGTAATTGCAGATACAACTATAGTACACCGTAATCTTGCACTAATTGTACTTGCTCAATACTACTCACCTGAAAGTAACCACCGTATAGTGATCCGAATAGAGAAATAGTATAGTGCATAAAGTAGAGAATAGCGGTCTGTATAGTAATAGAAGATAGAGTAGAAATGGTGATCCGAATAGTATAGTGGATAGACTAGAAAGAGCGATCATTAGTCGTCAGCTACTTCCTACATATATGCGTTTCCTCTATGGTCTACTTAATTCAATAATGAAGTTGCCTGTGTTTGCTCATTGGCAATCTATGTTCAAACTTAAGTGTCGGTAGCAACACTTTATTCCTATATAACAGTAACCCTCTACCTTGAATGACTCTTGGGCCTTGCATTGAGTGAAGATTAATATGAAAAAAAATTTAATTCTTTTTTAATGCTTTTTAAAATACAACACAACACTTTTGTTTTATTTACCCATTTACAGCACTGTTTCATGTTTAGTGATTTTTCAAAATATGTAGCTGTTTTTTAATAAAGAGAAACAGGAAGAAGTTGCAGTCTATGCATGGAGGAGAAACTATAAATTTAAAAACATGAATTATCCTCTATAAATTCGCATAAGGCTAAATATGTCTGTGTGTCCCTCACCTTAAATCAGTAGAACAAACAGCTTGTATAGTTAACACATATCAGTAATCAAATTTTTCTATAAATTAATTTGATTGATTTGTTTTTTATGGTTTATCAACCTTTTGTTGGAACATATTTTGGGATTGTAAGAATAATTATATTTTTTGTGAATGAATATTTTATTGTTCTCTCTCCTTCATAATGTTTTCTTTTTCTCAGACTGAGTAACCACTTTGCATCTTAGTGGCTTTATTGCCTTGCTTGGGGTGAAAGGATAAAAAAGAATATTTGGCCAGTCTAATAGATAAAAGGAGTTACTGTATTTGATGGTGTATAAGACACATCCCAATTTCAGCAGAAAAAATTAGTAATTAGTAAAATTAGTAAACTTACAATGGCATATAAGATGCAGGGGAATTTTAAAAAGATATTTTTAGTAAAAAAAAGTGCGTTTTATATGCCATGAAATATGGTAAATTATCTCAAACTGCATGCTAATACATCCTTTTAAAAATGTGAAAAGAACAATAGATCTTGGGGATGCTATTAAAAAATAGCCTCTTATTTTGTAAATTCAAGAAATTACTAAGCATGAAACAGCACTGTAAATGGATAAATAAAACAGAAATCTTATTTTCACACACACACACACACACACACACACACACACACACACACACAGAGGAAATAAAAAGCAGAATCCTACTTACTTGAACTGACAGAATATGTCTGCATATTCTGGTGAAATACCAGAGGCCTGCAGCACAGTAACACGGAACTGAAACACTGATCCAATCTTGAGGTGATCAGGGAGATCCTTTTCTACAATGTCAGGGAAATGGTCTTGGCCTTCCCATGTTTTATCAACAGAACACTTTCTCTCTTCTGGAAATAACAAGAAACAAGAAAATTATAACTTGATAGAAAACAGATGAAAAGTCTAAAGAATATTTACAAAAAGATTTTAGCTCCAGTTCTACAACCATACGATTTTGAAGTAAATTGTCACTAACTTATAACCATGTACTATAATATATTAAGCTGTCCTACATTGTATAATGAATTTTATTTTAAGCTTTGGCTTTTTTTTTTTAGTTTTCTGAAAACAATATCACATCTTGAGTCTGAATTTGTGATGAGGAGTTATCATTTTTATGTTATTTACATTTAGACTAATGTCTTTATCTTTGTTGTTATTAAATGTTGTTTTGGATGAAATGTTGGGATAATAACAAAGATGAGGGCAATAGTCTAAAATATTATCCTAATAAAAAGGATGAGAGCAACAACAGACCAAAATGTTGTCATAAAAACAAAGATGAGGGCAATAGTCCAAAATGTTGTCATAATAAAAAGAATGTGAGCAACAATAGTCCAAAATGTTGTCATAATAAAAAGAATGTGAGCAACAATAGTCCAAAATGTTGTCATAATAACAAAGATGAGGGCAAGTATTCAAAATGTTTTCATAATAACATATATGTGTGTGTGTGAGTGTAGGAAGCAATGTAAGTTTTGTAAAGACCTATATTTGCAAAGAATGTCCCCAGCAGAAGAAGAGTTAATTTCAGGATCCAGAAAAAGAAAAAAAAAAAAAACACCCTGTGACTTCATGCATGCTAGTATGCAGTTACAATTCATCATGACCCAAAGATTGAGCATACTGGATTTGTTCATTCCATATAATCTCACAGAAACTGACAGGTCTGCTCAACATTGTTACAGTATTATAAACCCCTGAGGATGTTAAAAAAAAGACAAGCAAGCCCGAGCAGTTGCATAACCAGTTACCATTCTATAGTATACTAAGGACTTGGTTGCATAACCAGTTACCATTCTATAGTATACTAAGGACTTGGTTGCATAACCAGTTACCATTCTATAGTATACTAAGGACTTGGTTGCATAACCAGTTACCATTCTATTGTATACTAAGGACTTGGTTGCATAACCAGTTACCATTCTATTGTATACTAAGGACTTGGTTGCATAACCAGTTACCATTCTATTGTATACTAAGGACTTGGTTGCATCATCTGTTACCATTCTATAGTATATTGAGGAATTAGTTGCATAATATGTTACCATTCTATTTAATTTTTTTTTTCTCTCTACTGTTGATAAACTTCAGTAAACTCATTAGTCTAAGAACAAGAGCCATGTTGATCAGCTTTTGATTCTATCTTCAATGAAAGGCTAGAGAGAAAAGAACAACACTTACCCAACATCCCATTCGCATCTGGGTTTGTACCCTCACCCTCAATGACACGTTCTTCCTCGAGTATTGGAACTTCTCCGACCTTCTTCAAAATGCTGGCATCCTGGGAATATTTGGGAGTACACAGCTGTTTTTCAAACCAAAGACAAAGATAGAGCTACAGACACAAGCAGACAGGAACAAATACCAAAAGAAGCTTTAACAAAACAAAAGCAACAGATATCAAGTTTTGATGGGAACAAAGGGACCTACTCTTATGCACCAAATACAAGTGCCAACACACAATCAAATTACATCCTTCAATTACCCCATCTCTCACCTTATTTTTACAATAATGTTCACCCTGTACAAGCCCCAAGAGCTACTCAAGGTAGAGGGTTACAGAGTAAGAGGCACAGTTTATGGGGCTATATGGGGGAGATAACAGTTAACCCTAGTACTTGAACAGATTAAGATTATAGTGATCAGGGAAGCATTCACTTGGGAGTCAGTTCCTCAAAGCAGTGGTTGGTGGGAAGAAACTGCTCAAGTGGAAGTTACATCTCACCACTAGAGTACAAAGGGAATGAAAGTAGTTTGCTCCAATGTGCATGGCATAGTAGGTCTTAGCAGTGAAGGTGTTATAGTGAAACACACCTATTCTATTAATAGACTCTTCCACCTATAATAAGTAGGAGTAGTAGCAGTCGCTCAGGCAGTTGGTCAGTCAGTCGATGTCAGACGACCGTTAGTCGGATATTAAAGTATCAGCCACCACAACTAGATTACTGCGTCATTACCTATTATATCAAGTTCCTAACGTTTTGTACGTCAAACCTATTTTAGGACCGACTTAGAAAAATACAAGCCTCCACTGCGAAACTACTCTACAACAGAGAGGCTTGCAAGATTTCGCCTGTGGGAAAGTTTTTACATTTTAGATATGCTGGTGGTGTAACGGTATAGCAGCCAAGAAGAAGAAATTGGTGAACTGGTTTTAAACTCCAGTTGAGTTTGTTACATTCACTTTCGCACAAACACCTTTGGCAAAGGCATGAATCCATGTCTCTCCACCACAGTTAAGGGTGAAATAGCAGGCTTGATTGGCCTCTCTAGAGCATAGGTAAGAGGAGGATAACACAGAATTTAAAATGAAGCCATCACTCAGCTGTACAATAATGGTTAGACATCTGGAAACAAAACACAGCAACTACGGAGAACAGAGTTGACACCAGCATTCATTAGGCCCAAGGAAAATGTTGTGTCATATCATTTTACAAGTTAAAAAGTCGCACAGGCATTACTATTCTAGACAGCACTTGTATTTGGTAGAAAAGAGTACACCACAAAGGAATAACATTTGACTGGATATTTATTATTTAATCTATTAATCTGAATGTTTTGCAGGGGTAGATATAAAAATGACTAATCCTTTACAGTAAAAATGACCTATAATATTTTTTTTTTTTTAGTGAACACAGAATATTTTAGGTCTGGCAATAATCAAGGCAGTAACAATTTTAATCTATCTTCGTTTAGTTCTATCTAATAGATTTTACATTAATAATAATAAAAATCTTAATCCTTTGAGCCCTGACCACTGCTTTACTGGTGATAGAGAAAAATGATGTAATGCCCAGCCACCATTTGAGCAGTGGTAGAGAAAAATTGACTTAATGCCCAGCCACTGGTTGATCGCTAGATAAACACTTGTAACTATATTCATATCTACCATGAAACATTACATACGAATTATTTACAAATTTTGACTCAGGAGAACTGGCAGTGATCCTGTCTATTTTATGTATTTTGTTAGTGAGGTTTGCTCCTCTAGGTGACAAAGGTTTTTTTTTTTTTCTGGCTACTACCCATTGTCCTCCCTCACAAGGTTAGGCCTGCCAGAAAATAAACTCCTGCCAGTATAGCTTGAAGAGTTATGGGAGTATACAAGACACTCTACTATGTCAAGGCACTTATTAAACAAACAAGAAATTATAATGTGGATATAAAGTAGGGGATCAATTCTATATTCCAATCATTATATAAACTGATCCCTGACTTTGTGGCCACAGTAGTTCCTATACATTTATATTCCAGAGAATGTAATAAAATCTAAAAGACATGCTTGTGTAGCTAATCAGTACTAGATTGATTTGTTTCCTATGGGTTATCAACCCTTTGCAGGTTATTTAAAGCCAGAAAATATTTTCATATTTTCATATTTTCTAATAAAAAGCTCATTACTATCCTCTGTTAACATACAAAAGTTATCTTCCTTTCTATATAATGAAGGAGTTACAAGCTAGAAGCAGTGTCAAATGTCACATTATGTTTTTACTAAATAAATTTTATTTAAAAAAAAAAATTAGGCCTCAGATAAAGTTTTAACTAATAAATTTTATTAAAAAAAAAAGAATTAAGCCTCTAATAAATTTGGGGCTGTAAATAGTAAAATTTTGAGAAACCCTGGTTTAAAAGATATTTGAAATTGAGTTGGGATAATACTGTACAAGTGTTTGTATGAGTAACTCCCATAAAAAAAAAAAACAATTGTAAAGAAAAGCATACCTTTCGGAAATAATTTTCATCATCAAACGAGATTCTGGCATTTCCTGATTGCTTTATACCTGGGGCATAGTCAACAGCATCATCTTTTTCTGTAAAAGTAAAAGATATATAAATAAATAAATATATATGTAAAAGGTAACTACATCATAAGAAGTAGCAAAAAATATCTTGAGACTTGTTCAATGTAGAAGTAATAGCCATGTGGATTAATATGGATTATGCTTGTTTGTTTGTTTGGGTTTTATGGCATATCAACCACTGTGGGTTAATTAATGCCAAATCCAGTTTATATGAATTTTAAATACCTATTTTGTGTGGAATAAAAACCATTATTGTTTCAAAAACCTATAGCTGGCAACATTATTGTTTCAAAAATGCATAGCTGGCAACATTATTGTTTCAAAAACGCATAGCTGGCAACATTATTTTTCTGAAAACATTATCTGAGGCCTTGCTGTTGGATGTAGTTTATCGCCATACCCAGGACGCAATATGAAATATGGCCCTTGATGAAAAGATACATTTCAATGCCTACCTTTGATACTAACATAGAAAAGCAGAAACTTCCATTATCACTGGTTAGTTATTTAGTATACCAACTGGTACTGGAATCTAATTGCCTTTCTGTTTTACATTGGTTTCTGAAATTTTTGATACTCATGCTTGTCTTTGAATAAAACGTCTGGTAGATCAGATTTCCAGATTATAGATCAAATAGATTCTTTAGAACCATTGTAGAGGTGATTTTAATGTATGGTGCCACTACTTAGACTAACTTAAAAACCTTCAGTCTAAGCTAGATGGAACCTACACCCAGATACTGAGAGCTATATTTAACATCTCTTGGAGACAACATCCAAATAAATCACAGCTCTATGGACCCATCCCTGATATTTCTATAATCTTACAGAATGCACTTTGCAGGACAATGTTCATGAGAAGAACCAGAGCTTGTAAGTTATCTACAAGGTGCAAGATGGGCTGGTTGCCCAGTAATAACCTACATTGACCAGCCATATTATGACACAGAGTGCCACCCTCATGACCTTCTGACCTTGTTGGTTGGTGTGATACTTATGAATGTCCAAGATAGCTTGACCAAATAATAAATTTATTAACAGAGTGTCATTTTGATCTACAGACCTCTTTGATATAATTTTATCCCTCCTCTTATGAGCAGTGAGAAAATTTGTTTCATGAGAGAGCCATTTTCTTCACATAAGCCTTCAAGGTGTTCATCAATACTGCCTGCTATCAGGAATAAGTTAAACTTTGAGAAACATATTTTTACCACAAAAAATAGTGGTGTTTGCTGAAATGTGTGTATAATGAAAAGTCCGAGCAGGAAATGATGAAGACATTAATTTGGGATGAAGAAAATAAATGCTGTTACATTGTAAAGATATTCTCTTTATATGTGATTGAATAAATTAATAGAAATTTCTTTTTTTTGACTTAAATGATGACTAGATCAAATTCTGGTTCAAATGTAATTAACACATCTATATCTAATAATAAATATACATTTGTTCCTTACTATTCAGGACAATTCAGGGTCTCATACATGTGGCAATTGCCAGGCACAACTTGAAAACTGAACGTTGGAAATTGTTTTTCTTTTTTTTTTCATAAGTAAATGGACTACTCCCCTATCTTAACAGTAGGTTATAAAGATTAATATTAAAATTTTACAATGGTTAATTTTCAAGTTCTGCCTGATAATTACTACATGCATAAAACTCAGATTTGTACCAAACAGTGAGAAACAAATGTATATTATTAGTGTGTGTGCATGCACAAACACACACACACACACACACACACATATATATATATATATATATATATATATATATATATATATATAGATATATGTATGTATGATAAAAATATAGTTTTATGGTATGCTAGATTTAGGAGTAAAATTGTTCAATATCAGAACTAGAGTGTATGCAAATATAAAAGTAGATACTGAGGTTAAAAAGCAGCAACAGCCTGTTTCATGCCTGAACACAATCTTAAAGATAGCTTGAAGATTGTGTTGAAGCATGAAACAGATTGACACTGCTTGTTGACCTCAGTTTCCACTTTACACACATACACACACATACATACATACATGCATACATACATATATATATATATATATATATATACAATAGCTGGCTACTAATTTTTTTCAAGGAATACACATCTGCCAGAGCACGGACCAAATCCCTATTACAGATGCCTGCTCAGCCCACTGAGTTCTCCTATGGTTTATACTGCAACTATACTGAGCAGACCTTAGTTACAGTTTCAGGGAGAGAGCACATATTCTGCAGTGATCAATTTTTGGGGCCATCATGTATATAAAAAGGAAAAATAATCATAACATTTGACACATACAAGCACCCACACACAAAAACACAAAGTAAAAAATCAACTTAACACCAATAAGAGCTCCCAATTAGCATATAAATTAATTAAATCAAACTTAGTATAAAATTAATGAAAATTGATAAAAATACATCAGATAAGTGACAAATTATATATATATATATATGTGTGTGTGTGTGTGTGTGTGTGTGTACACATACACATACACAAATTTATAATGGTCAAGACAAAAGATTTTATCATTTAAAACGAGATGTACAGCGTTATATTTGTATACTAGATTTGATAGGTTTTTGTTTCTGTCTTAGCAAAAGAAAACAAAAAATACAAAGGAGAAAAGTTAACCCATAATATCATGTGAATCACCTGTTTTATGACTAATTAATGAAAGAACATTTAATTTGAAGCTTAACATGCAACCAGAGTGATATGCAGCTGCCACCCTCAACCAAATGAAAATCAAAAAAGTCACTTACCAGTCACAGCCTGTACAGCTACCCTCAGGTAGCCCTTCACATCACCTTTCTCGTTCACGATAGCTACTCGGTGCACAAGGGGAACTGGGTAGAGTAAATTACTCAGGTAGACAAATGATCTACAAGGTAAAGGAAATAAAAAAAAGTTAATATTCAAAGAAGGAAAATCAAATTTAACTTTTGTTCACAATCTTCATGTTTTCAATCTTGAAAATGCAGTGTGGCAAAAGTTACACCTTTTTTTTTTATTTACTTTTATTGAGCAAAAATAAATTACAATAATTTAAGAAAGTTTATAAGTATTGTCACATGAATACATCATTCGTTATGATTAACAAACTATTTAACATGTTCAAAATGGCCCACTTCATGTTCAATATAATGCTGAATCCTACCAGCAACACTTCTACAAACCATTTGACACATTTCTACATTAATTTCAGAAAATTTATCAGAAATTGCCTCTTTTAATCCAGAAATTGCTTTTGGTTTGAACCTGTAAAGAAGATCTTTCAGTTGACCCCACAAGAAAAAGCTTGGTGGCATTAGTTTCTGGTCATTGTGATGGCCAATCAATTGCTCGACATCAATTCCACCTTAAGATTTAACCATTCTTGATTTCAGATGAAAATTTGCAAATTTTCCAACATATTTCAGTGAAATTTCTACTGTCCAAAATTATAGTTTATCATTATAGTTTACATATATAGAAAAATGTTGTCAGTTTAAACTGATGCCAGAAGGATTTTGGTTATATAAATAAAAATAATTTCCTAAAATCTAAAATCCACTGAAAACACTGAAAATTAAACAAGTGTGAGTGAAAATTCTGATGACAACAGAGTTCAAACTCACACATATAAAGAGAACAGGACTTAAACCTATTGCCAGAAATCACCGAGTCCCACTGTTGAATATTGTTGGGTGTTTGGTTTGCTTTCATAGTTAAAGAACAAATCTCTCAATGAACAATTTGTTTGACTAATACAGAGTATCATTGTTAAAGACTTTAACTTTGTTATTAATTATTAAAATAATCCACCAGTTTATTTCTAACAGAAAAAGTTTAATAAAACCACTAGTGGCCAGAAGGGTTTTTCTTTAAGTACTAAATCAATCCTCTAAGGGTATATATATATATATATATATATATATCTCCAAGCATAGGATTGGTGTATAAGGAATAAATTCCAATAACCCAAAAATACTATTCTTAAAAGAGTGCTCAATACAGAGTAGAGCAAATATAATTTATTTGAAAATTATAATATAAATATGTTATAAAATCACTACAAAAATAGCCATTTTGTTTCAACACTTCTAGTGTCTTATCAAGTGATGGTGTTGAATGTAGAATAAAGAGTTTATATTATATATATATATATATATATATATGCACTGGTCTGGTGCACTTGCTATATATTTAGAGATTCTAGATGAAATCCAAAGAATCTGCAATGTTATTGGTCCTGACTTGGTATCTCAGCTTCAGTTACTTTCCCCGCCACTGTAATGTACCATCCCTGTGCCTTTTCTATAAATACTTTCATGGTAATTGTTCTGATGAACTTTCCTCTATAGCACCTAGACTTTAAGAATTTAAGCACAGTACTTGACTGCTGACAAGGTCTCATCATTTTACAGCTGAAATGGCTAGATGTAACCATAAGTTCTATGCTAACTGTTTCTTCTATCGTACTTCTCACCTGTGGAGCTCTCTTCTGGTTCCTTGTGTCCCAATCAACTTTGATCTTCAGAAATTTAAATGCAATGTTAATCATTATTTTCTGTCTTAATTCTTATTCTTTTATTGTCCTCTCTCCTTAATAGTAGTTTTTCTCTATTCTCTAACACCCAATAACCTCTTGCATTCTAGTGGCTTTATTGCCTTTGAAAATAAAAAGTATATATCCAAATTTCTTGCTTCCCTGATAAATACAATCTTCAAAAATTTAAATGCAACATCAATTTCCATCTTCTGTCTTCTTGAACCCCATTCCTTTTTTTGTCCTTTCCTCAATCTTTCTCATTCACTTTCACTCCCTGTAACCCCCACCGTTCTAGTGGTATTGTTACCTTGCTTGAGGTGAAATAATTAAAAAGAAAATAAAAATGAAAAAGTGATGTGTACATTAACTGATATTTTCACTACTTTACCAACAATATTAATTATGTAATGTCCCCCTCTTGAAATTTGCACTCTGTTTTCATTTTTGCCTTTGCACATTTCTGTAACTAAATAGCATTGTTTTCTAGCATTATTATTTAGGCTTTGAGGAATTCATATTGTTCTAATCTTGGTCTACAAAAATTAACAAAAATAAATAATTGGAGCTGAAGGATTTTAAAGATTAAATCCAAATTATAATGATATAAAAAAAAATGTACTGCCTACCTTCCAATCAAATGAAAAGAATTTTTTTTTTTATTTACACATCAATAGAGAGAATGAGTAAAAATGGTGTTCTAATGAAAAGGTTTTATTTATTATTTGTCAGTCACAGAAACAGTGGTGTTAGTCTCTCCTGGGCAATACAAAGTCACCCTGACATCTTTCTTTTTTTTAATAAGATACAAAAATAAGAAAACAAATAAAAGAAAAGATACTCACCTGCCGACCAAACGGAACCAAGGGAATCGGTCATAGAATGGGTCCCCGCCGGTCATATTGTCAATGCTGGGTTCAGGTGAGGTGGGAGAGAGCTCTGCCTCATTGTGGTACATCTCACGCATCAGTTCAAGTCTCTGCCTGTAATACAAGAACAAATAAACTTTTGGTCAGATGATTGTCTATGAGCTAAAATTTTGACAAGTGCCACCAAAGAAACATATGCAACCAACACAAACATTCAAAGAAAGCAGAAACACAAATATATTAATAAAATACATCAAAAGAGAAAAAGGTGTCATCTTTCATGCCTAAAATTTATATAAAAAAAAAAAAAAAAGAAAGCTTGCCAAAAGGCAGAGAATGGATATTTTTTTAAAATAAGATCTAGGAAAGTTGGTTTGCTGTGTCATTCTAAACAATTTTTCTCTCCAGAATCTGTCTTACATATTTATAAGTCTACCATTCATCTGTGCTTTGAATATTGCTGCTAAATCTGGTCTGGTGCTCCTGCTATATATTTAGGGATTCTTGATAAAATCTGAAGAATCTGCAATGTTATTGGTCCTAACCTGGCATCCAAACTTCACTTCCCACCATAATGTAGCTTCCCTGTGCCTTTTCTATAACTACTTTCATGGCATTGTTCTAGTAAACTCTCCTCTATGTACCTAGACTTTATGAATTTTAGCACATTACTAAATTGATGGCAAGATCATGATTTTCCAATTAAATTGGCTAGATGTAACCATAAGTTCTATGCTAACAGTTTCTTTTCTTGCACTTCTCACCTGTGGAACTCTCTCCTGGTTTTCTTCTTTCCAGCTAATATTGATTGTTGTACCCTTAACAAACAGTCAAAAGTGGTACTCGAGTGAAGGAACAACACGTGCATAGATGAAAGAAGAGAGGTTTATTGTAAAAGAGAATACACTACTGAAAGACAGGGATTCGGGTGGCAGGCTAGTAATTCCCGAAGCAAGCCTCCAGGTATATCCTGTGCTCACTATATATAGCTACTGATATAGTCAGTCCTCATAGGCGATAGGGAGTACGGGGCATTCCATTACTAGATTGATCTTCAAAAATTTAAATGCCCTATCAATCATTATCTTCTGTCTTGTTGATTCCTCTTTTATTATTCTTGCTCCTGAATAATGATTTTCTTTTTCTTTCACACCCAGTAACCCCTTGTCTCTTAGTGGCTTTATTGCCTTGCTTGGGGGGAAATGATTAAAAACAAAAGAAAAAAGACCCCCCACCCCACCAAAAGTGTCAAATTATTTTTTCATTTGTACTTTGGCAGGACAAAAATGAAAAATAAAAGCATGTTTATTTATGCATTTTCTTTTTTGTGCTCACAATTAAAAAAAAAATTTGCCTAGATTGATGTGTGAACTGGGTAATGGTTATTGCCTTGAAAAACAGAATCAGAGTTCAAATATCCTACCCAGACTATTGTGCTCATTTTTACAGAAATGCCCTTGTGAAAGGCATGAACCCATCTCCCACCACACACACTGCTAAGGGATAAATAACAGGATAAGTTGGTCTCTCTAACTTTGGTTGGCAGCCTGCCAAGAAATACTACTTTGAATTCGAAACTATAGAGAAGGCAAGAAGAAACCACTCCACTATCTTTCCCAAGATGTCATGGCAATTCACAGATAATAAAGATAATTAGAAAGAGAAGAAAAAGAAAAAAATTACTGCCAATTTTTTTTCTTTTTCTTCTCTTTCTAAGAATTTTGAATTAGTATCCATTAAATCAATGTAAATCTTTGGCTGATGAAGAGAATAGATGTCCTGAAACATCTACAAACATTCAATAAAAAATATGTTATATAGGTTTTGTCTATAATTTTATCAAGTTGGTTGTATGGGTCAGGAATCTCTTAAATTACAAACATAGATACAAAGATATCAATATTTCATGCCCACAAAAAAAAATGATGTGACAAAACAACAGTTATTGTCTTGACCCCCTCCCCATTACTGTATACACTTTTGACTCCCTCGACAGTGTTTATCATTTTAAAAAGTGATGATTAGAATTTTAATAAAACCCAAACATATAAAAGTAAATTTAGACATTTTCTTTATTCTTGAAAACTAACAACAATGATTTTAAACACTATTATAGAATTTTCTTGTTCAGACATTTTTATGAATAAAAAAATTTCTTTTCATATTTGTTTTAAATGGTAAGTAATAAATATTTCATTAGGGTTCATTCAGATATTTTCATAATTTGATAAATATAAAATTATTCTTGTAAATAAGCAATCGAATGAATATCTTTAAAATCTGCAATTAAAAATAAAAGTAAAGCAAAACAAAAAACAAACACATAATTTATTTTTTTATGAAAATATCACAACATAAATCACAGAAAGAAAGTAAAATACATTCATGGAGGGTAAAAGAAAAAAACGCTTAAAGCAGATAATACAAAAAATAATCGACAAAAGCAGATGAGATGACCAATGGTGACCATGGCAACAATGAGAATCAGGATAGGGCAGCCATCTTTGCTTAACAACATTAATAAGAAAAAGTGTTGTAAACATAGCTGTGAATGAAGCATGTCACATGTAAGGCAAAGTGCAGCTAAAATAAAATTATGAAATCAACTAGAATAAAACAGCAATTATCTATATATATATATATATATATATATATATATATATATATATATATTCAGGCTACTAATCTACTGTTTAATAAATAAACAGAACATCTACTCAAATATGAGTATTCACTAAAAATAATATTTAAGTAATAAAAAACTAAACTTGGATTAATAAATAAAAACATTCATCCCTTTCTTTATTAACTGCTTTGCTTATGCTAGGATACTGAACTGACCATATAGGAATAATTAATTTGCTTTAAGCCAGATAGCAGAAATTAAATTCTAAATACAAATATTTCATTTTTCTGTAAGAATTTACAGAGATTCGATATTTTGGTGATTTTGGAGTCAGATCTTAAATCTCAGAACTTTGCCAATTTTATATTTTGACATTTCACAAAATACTCTTTTTTTTCTTCCTTATGATTCCTAATTTTTGTTTTGATTTGTTTTTTACAGTTTATCAACCCTTTGCAAGTTATTTAAAGCCAGGAAATATTTTTAGATTCTAAGAATTTTTGGGGTGGTAATAATCATTTACTGATACAAATCCTACTAATTAACCTATAGCTGGGTGGGGAGAGGAGAAAAAGTGGATTTTCCAAGGTTATTTGTCTCTAAGGGACTATAATGAGCTCAACTTTAATTGGAACTTGGCTCTCTAATTTTCCAATTCCAAACTGTTATCCATTACACCATCCCCACATCCAAGCTTACAGCACCTTGTATTCCTAAACAGTTACCTATCTAGGTACTGACTAAGTTGATACAAAAACCAGTGTTTCAACATTATATGGCCATAAGCTCCCACATATGCAATGTGCTCAACAACCAAATAAATGTTATTCTTGGCGATATACCAATTATAACTTCTGCAGTATATTTACAATGATGCAGAAACCAACTTTTGCCTGAACGCTGATGCATCCACCTAACTCATTATCTATATGCATACCAACTTACAGACAAAGTATGATCAATATTTGTTCCAATGGTACAGAAATAATAGCTATAACAGCACCAGACCCTGGCAGCAGGTTCCATATTGGGAAACAGTCAGCAATCGATGTTGTTGATCAAGAAATAGATCTGGACATCTGTGCTTTTTTTTTTTCAGATTTTTAGTTGGTTCTTTTTTTAAAGAATGCTAGCTCAATTAGAGGATCCTTGGGGAGGTTTGAAGAAAAGGCAGGGTTACAACTCAAGTGGCAGAAATATTTCAGGCATAAATTCGATGGTTATTTTTTTTAAATTTATTTTTCAATTTGGTCATCATGTCAAGAGGGAAAGGGCAAATAAATAATAAGAATCTTTAACTTTTTATATCTGCTTTCTGATGTTACTTCAGCACAAGCACTTTGGGATTGATTTGAGCGATTGATTTTTTTTATGGCTTATCAACCCTTTGTGGGTTATTTAAAGCCAAAATATATTTTGAATTATAATAAAAAAATTTTTTTTTTTTTAAATGGGTAATGCATTATTTCATTGTTATTCTTAAATAGCAATGTTTTTTCCAGATACAAGTTCTATAATTTAGCCCATAGCTGGTGAGGGAATGAGAAGAGATGGATTCATATTTTTCCCTAGAGTATTTTTGCATAAGTGAATGTAACAAACTTGACTGGAACTTGGTTCTCTGATTTCTTGTTTTGAGCCACTATCCAAGCACCACCCACACATCCTAAAGGATTTTGGGAAATGTGTGTATGTGTCTGTGTGTAGACAAGGAGAGAAACAAAAGAATATACGCATACATGTTTATATACATATATACAAACATGCATACATCATTTTTTTCTTTTCCTTTATGTGTTTGTACCCCAAACCAAATCAAATAATACACACACACACAAAGTGCAATTGACAAATTCTCAGTCCAGCTATCTTCCCAGAATCCGATTAATGAGCAAACAACAGAATTTTTTTTTTTTTGAAAGGGCTTCTTGGTGAATCTTTCAGCATGTCCTCATATATATCATATATTAAATATACATAGACAGAACAGAAAAGTATACCAGCATTTGATACCTATTATACCGATAATATTTAAAATAAAATTCAATATCAATTGACTTTTCTGTCGAATTCAACGTATGAGGGTCAAGCAGATCAGTTCCCAGGAAACTGACAGCCCAAACGACCATCCACAGGTTTGGAATTCAGAGTTGTCCTTCTCCAAGACCAGTTGCAACCCAAGGAGATATATATATATATATATATATATATATATATATATATATATATATATACACACACCCAACCGTCCTGGGTATGATGATAAACTATGTCCAACAGCTAGGCCTTGAGGAGTGCAGAACCACCTCTTAATTGCTGTTGTTCCCAGGTCCACCCTGACCCGGCGTGGTAGCACTTGTTAGGGTCCCAGCTATGGGCAAATAGTTAACCCATAAAATTGAGGTAAAAAGCATTATGAAAGTTTAAAAGTTTAAAACTAGGTTTTAATACCAAAAATAGTTTGGAAAAAACTTATTACCAGGAATAAATTTTTGAAGAAAAACTGTTACCAGCAATACTTTTTGGAAAAAAAATTATTACCAGCAATACATTTTTTGAGATTATATTACCAGCCATACATCTTTGAGGAAAAAAATATTACCAGAAATAGATTTTTGACAAAACAAAAATATTACCAGGAAAAAAAAAAGTTGTCGGCATTAAATGACCCATTGAGGTTGATATGCCATAAAACAAAGCAAAGGTGCGATGGGTAAATTGTCACCATTTTATATTTTTAATTTCATGCATGTGCGTTGTTTGTTTTGATTTTATCAATTGCTCAGTATAGTAGTACCAGTTGGATACCATCTGTGAGAAAACGAGCACTGTGATGCAATTCACTCTGCCAGAAATTTGGAAACGGCATGCTGTACTGCTTGGCATTCATGCCGGAAGCTCTAATATGAACATTTCAGAGTGTTTGGGCATCAATTTGATGACAGTGTAAAGGATTCAGAAAGAGTTGGATGAGTCTAATGATGATTATGAATGTATGACAACATGGAAAACTCACTCTGCTCATTCTGATAAGAAACGAACACCCGAATTTGTTGGTGAGGGCCTCAGACTCAACACAGAGGCCTACGTCAAGTGCCTTGAGGAGGTAGTGCTGCCCTGGGTCAAGAGGGTGGCTGCTGGAAGACCCTATGTCTGGCAACAGGACTCTGCATCATGCCATACAAGCAGGAGAGCCCAGTCATAGCTGTCAGACAATTTCTATAACCACATCACCTCATACATCTGGCCACCTAACTCCCTAGACTGCAACCCCTATGATTATTATGTGCGGGGCACAGTTGAGAAAGCAACAAAACTCCTTATAACACCAAAAATGAACTGAAAGAGAGGATTATGGTAGCATTCACCAACTTAAACAAGGGAGACTATCCAGAAGAATTGCAGGAGATTTCAAAGTTATCTGGAGGCCTTGGTTGAAGCCAATGTCGATTTTATTGAATAATTTCTCATTCCAAAAAATACTTCCTGTTATATATTTAGAGATTAAATTCAAAGAAGAATCTGCAATGTTATTGGCCCCGGCCTGACATCTTGGCTTCAGTCCCTTTCCCACCATCATAACACTGTTTCCCTGTGCCTATTTTATAAATACTTTCGGCTATGGTACTTAGACTTTATGAATTTAAGTGCAATACTAGACTGCTGACAAGTTCTCATCATTTTATGGTTGAAATGGCTAGATGTAACCATAAGTTCTATTCTAACAGTTTCTTCAATTGCACTTCTCACTTGATTCTTGCTTCCCAGTTAAACTTTTATCTTAAAAAATTTAAATGCAATGTCAATCGTTATCTTTTGTTTTCTTAATTTCTGTTTTTTTATTGTTCTCTCTCCTTAATAGTAGTTTTTCTCATATTCTCTAACATTCAGTAACCCATGCATCATAGTGACTTTATTGCCTTGGTTGGGGTGATGCCATGTCATTTCAGGATGTAGAAGATCATGGCTCTCCAGTGAAATTCATTTTTTACCTTCTTCATGGTTTCGGATGCAGAATAGTTCTTCTACTAAACTGGTTCTCACCAAAGGCTAGAGATCCCAGTCTACCCTGTTACTTAACTCATATCTGAGAGGAGAAGAGATGTATTCATGCTTTTACCAAGGGACTTAGAGTGAAAGTGAATACAATAGACTAGAACAGAATTTGAACTCAGCTCCTCACTTCTACTTTCCATATCCATAACCATTATTCTTCCTGCATATAATATCTATAAACATCCACATGCACACACACATATATATACTTCATAGATAATCAATGGCTTAGTATTGAAAATAATCAATATAAGGTAGATGTCAAAGTTAATATTGGAAAAGTTAATCAATATAAAGATAAATAGAAGAAAATACTGTTTTGAGTGACTAACAGATGAAATTAATGTGCAAATAGAATAACAAAAGAGAATACTGTACCGAGAGAATAACATAAGAAAATGCTGTACTGAGATAATAATAGACAAAAGTACTTTATGAGAGAATAACAGAGTGAATACTGTACTGAGAGAATAACGGAAGAGAATACTGTACTGAGAGAATGACGGAAGAGAATACTGTACTGAGAGAATAACAGAAGAGAATACTGTACTGAGAGAATAACAGAAGAGAATACTGTACTGAGAGAATAACAGAAGAGAATACTGTACTGAGAGAATAACAGAAGAGAATACTGTACTGAGAGAATAACAGAAGAGAATACTGTACTGAGAGAATGACGGAAGAGAATACTGTACTGAGAGAATGACGGAAGAGAATACTGTACTGAGAGAATAACAGAAGAGAATACTGTACTGAGAGAATGACGGAAGAGAATACTGTACTGAGAGAATGACGGAAGAGAATACTGTACTGAGAGAATGACGGAAGAGAATACTGTACTGAGAGAATAACAGAAGAAAATACTGTACTGAGAGAATAACAGAAGAGAATACTGTACTGAGTCTAAGAAAAACTTTAAATTAAAAATGCATTTAAAACATAGTTGCAGAAAAATAATTTACACATACAGAGAAGCAGAAAAGCTTTTGTATAATGAATGTCTTTTTGTATAATGAATGTCTTTTTGGCTTTTGTAAGAATCAGAATGTACAAAGCAGAGAGAAAGGAATTCATTCTATATACTTATGATGAACAATGGTTTAATGACATTTCCATAATCCCCTTAATCCAGGGGTTCTTAATCAGGAGGGAATTCCCCTCCAAGGTTGAATTTCAGGGTTTCATCGGGGAGGGAAAAATCTTTTATTTGCTTTTTATTTACAGAATTTTGTTTATTGAATTACAATACTCCAGCATTCTATTGAACTTTTTGTTTATTGATGTATGCATCAGTCTATTTATTTATGGGTTAGTTGTGAATTAAAGCAAATTACTATACATGTATAAGAGTTTAAAAATCCAACAACATTTTCTATTGCTATTAAATTTGGAAAATTCCTCTATAAAAATAATCAATGTAAATGTACATGAACTAATAAAGAAAAGAATGAAGATTTTCAATAATATATAATTATTATTTAGAATACACCTTTTGAGTTGGACAGTCTTGGAAAGTTGGGAGAATGACATTCTGACTTGTGGTGAAAAGGTTTTTTTTTTTTTTTAATTCATGCTAAGCAAGGTGATAATGCCACTAAGATGCAAGGGACTACTGGAAGTGAAAGAGAATGAAAAGACTTTAGACTGAACCAGAAAGTCAATTCTAAACAAGAAACAAGGGATAAACCTCTACTCCTAATCAAAAACTGGGGAGGAGTGTAAACAGGGCAATGGGCAAACCTATTTACTCCTATGATAGTAGAGAAACTTAATCCACATATGTTTTTTACAGAATATAAGTATAGTAGGCCGATGAAAGAAATTTGTAAATGATAGAATAATAATAATAATAATGCTGATAATAATAATAACAATATAAGCACAGCTCATATGTTATGAAGGGCTTTATCTATGTAAAATGTGTGTACTCTTAGGGTGTTTTATTTTATTTATTTATTTATTTTTTTACAAAAATGTTCAATGGAAAATGTCATGATGCTATTTCTGCCCTTAGATCTCTGGTTGGGACCCAGAACAAAATGAGTATACAATAGAAATCAAAATAAATAAACAATAATAATACTAGAAGAATTGGATACAAGAGAATCTGATGGTAAAAATTTGTTACAAATGTTAAATCTACAAGAAGGATGTTTACCTATGAAGAGAGAAAACAGGAATTTAAAAAAAATATACTGCAAAATACCTTTGTTTTTTGATGGCAACTATATATATATATATATATATATATATATAATACTCCATGCCAACAGTATGACTTGGAGTTTCATGCAAAATGCAGTCATCAAGTATGTGTATATATATACATATATATATAATCTTAAAATAAAAGAACAGATAGGAAACGTATATCAATCTAACAGGTTTCGCTTTTATTAAAACTTTGTTAGAAATTAAGAGAAAACAGACAAAAAGACAGAAGAAGCACTGGTATTTTCAATTATGTTTGGGTCAGTTCTTTTTGGTCAGACATGTGTCACATGTATTAAAACCGTAGATAATTCTATATTTATGTTGGTTTGTGAAGATTCTTGTATGTCTAAGTGGGCATTGGATGGTAATATGTATTTGTAATTGTGTACGTGTGTTTGTATAGTGGGAGTTTTATCTTCACCTACATGCACACAGAATTATCTACGGTTTTGATACACGTGACATGTGTCTGACCAATGAGAACTGACCCAAACAAAATGGAAAATAACAGTATTTCTGTCTTTAATAAAAGTGAAACATATTAGATTGATATATGTTTCCTATTTGTTCTTTTATTTTATCATCTGGTCAGATTCCAATCCATAATTGATCTGCATTTGATCTTTAATTCATATATATATATATATATATATAATGAACTCTCCCGTCCATTTCGACATATGAGGATCTGACAGTTTAGTTGATTCAGTTATAAAATTTTGTGTGATAATCTTAAGTTGCACTTAAGACCCCCTAGTGATTTACAAAGGAGGTCACATATGGAGCAAGAGTGAGGATTATGAGATCATAGATTAGCTAACCTTTTAGATCTCGCTCTGTGGATAAGAATGAATCAAGGTAAATTGCCAGAAAACGCACACAAATGATTTGAGTAAAGTGGTGAAGCCTTGTGTAGAACCATCCACACTTTTCGAAACTACTGATACACTCAGTTGGTGCAAATAAATGCCACAGATGAAGCAGACAATATACCTCAGGCTTTTCGTGTAAGAGTTTTCCATCTCCTAGACCAATCGTGTTCTATAACACTAAAGAGCTTGGTCAGCCCTGGTAGATACTATTTGCCCATGGCTGGGACCCTAACAGGTGCTACCAACTGGGTCAGGGCTGACCTGGGAACAACAATATATATATATATATATATGTGTGTGTGTGTGTATATATATATATATAAAAACAGGTTTTGTTGTGTATGTACATGTCAGGGTAAATTGCGTATGTGTGCATCTTTGTGAGAGATAGAGTGACGATGAAAACAAGATATGACAAATAAAACATGCAAATTACAACAATTATGCAGATGTAAAGAGTGAGTTTGAAGCACGTGTGTGCACTTATACATATTGCATCTATATCTTCTACACAATCATGATTCTCTACAAATTCCTGTTCTTTGTAGCTCTTACCAATATCTGTATATAGATATAGATAATAACCACAGCTACAGGAAACGGGACACAGACACACATCTAAATGGAGAGATCTTGTCTGACTTAAAAAAACAACTTTTAAAATTCTTGGCACCAGTGCGAAATCATCTGATTCACTAAGAATCTATATATATATATATATATATATATATTTGGTTGGATAGATGTGAGTTTGTGACCTGAGTTTCACGCATATAATATATAATTATTATATATATATATATTTATATACACTTTTCACACACACACACACATATATATATATATATATATATATATATATATATATATATATATATACACACACATATACACACACACGATAGGATTTGAACCTGCATCCCACTTTACAGGAGAAACTACTGTCTGATCTGGTGTGCTTTTATCACTCAGCTACAAAGAGTGTCACAATAATACAAAGTTCTATATTGCCTTTAAAGTTACTAACTTGTTCAAATTTTTATGAAACACATATCTATGCAGGCCGGTAGACGTAATATATACTGTTGAAAATAAACAGAGTATCTACTCAAATATGGGTATCCACTAAAAATAAATTTTGAAGTTATATATATATATATATATATATATATATATATATATATATTTTAATTGTTCCACTCCAAGCATGGCAATAATGCCACTAAGACCCAAGGGGTTACTGGAAGTAAAAGAGAATGAAAAGATTTTAGGAGAAACCAGAAACACAATCTAAACAGGAAAGAAGGAATGAAGCTCTACTCTGATCCAAAAGATGGGGAAGGAGTGTGAACTGGTGTGTGTGTGTGTATCTGATGAACTTTCCTTTTTAGTACCTAGACTTTATGAATTTAAGTGCAGTACTGGATTGGCAACAAGGTTTCATCATTTTATGGTTGAAATGGCTAGAGGTAACTGTAAGTTCTATGCTAACAGTTTCTTCAATCGCACTTCTCTATTTGTGGAACTCTTCCAGCTTCTTGCTTCCCAGTCATCTTTGATCTTCAAAAATGTAAATGCAATGTCAATCATTATCTTCTCTCTTCTTATTTCCTGTTCTTTTATTATTCTCTCTCATTCATAGTGTCCCCCCCATATTTTCTCAAACTCAGTAACTCCTTTTAATGGCATATATATATAAATAGAAAGAGAGAGAGAGAGAGAGAGAGAGAGAGAATATTAGTACTGAAATAATGAGATTCCAAAAGAAATATAAAAATAAAAACTGCATTGAAATTAGTTAAGATCTAAATTTTATATAAGGTTTTCAGCGAATCATTTTTTGTCTCCCTAATGTAGATTTTGATCTTGTGAAAAAAAAGATTCTTTCTCTGATCATTGCTTGATTATCTGACTTAATTTTCATCAACCTTTCACAGGTTATTTAAAGCCATAAAATATTTTTAGATTATAAAAAATGTATTTTTTCGTTTTAGATTGGAAGAATTTTTTTTAAGAGATGATCATAATTTACTAGTACAAGTCCTACTAATTAACCCATAGCTGGGAGGAGAAGAGGCAGATTTCTCAAGGGTATTTGCATGTTAGTGAATATAACAAACCATCTAGAATTGAAATCTCTCATCATCAACCTTTTGTAGGTTATTTAAAGCCAGAAAATATTTTTAGATTATAAGAATTTTTTGAGATAATAATGATTTAGTGACACAAGTCCTATTAATTAACCCATAGCTGGAGGGAGAAAAGATGAATTCATACCTTTCCCGAGGGTATATATAAATGAGTATGACAAACCCAACTGGAATTGAAACACAGCCCTCTGATTAACAATTTTGAGCCATTATCTATTACACAATCTGCACATCCAAGCTGACAGAACTTTTATTCCCAAGTGGTTACCCATCTATGTACTGACCAAGTTCGATGCTGCTTAACTTTGGTGATCATATGAGAACCAATGTTTCAATGTGATATGGCCCTAAGCTTTTTTCTGATGAGGCAAGTTTATTGGCAAATCATGTCAAAGTATGTTTTCCAGATAATTCCAGATATATAGATATTGTTAAAGTTAATGATGACAGTAGCAGCTTTTTGCCGCTACTGCCTGACCAAGAAAGGTAGTTATAGATACAAGAGGTGTTTGCTCACCCAGCTTCTCTTTTCTCTGTCAGATATTGTGACATGTCAGTGTTGAGACAGAGTTTCAGGAGATAAGTGCAAAGACAACTTAAACAGCCTCAGCTGGGATTTGAATTTGGCTCCCCAGAATTCTTTTTTCCATCCTGATAGTGATGAGGCTATCTGCCATGTGCAGAGATTGGCATTATGCATGCAATTAAAGAAAATCAGTTGAAAGTGTTCCACTGTCTGGTTTTTATAGAAGTCTGGAAATATAGCTCTGCCTTTCTTGTCAATTTCATTTCAAGATTCTTCCATACTCTGTTAGCTATTTTAAGTGTGCTACAGCAAATTTTCTATGTAGAATTAAGACTAAAACAAACCTTCACATACAAGATGGAGGTACTCCAAAATCTCTTTTTTGTATGTGTATGTTAAACTTGTAGGCTCCCAAGAGGTACACACCTATAGTTGTCCCATGGTATATATTGATGCTATAAATTCCATAGCAAGTAGGATTTTAGAGGGTGATGCTGTTAGCCCCATGCTCAAATGGTTTTGAGTTCAGAGTTGGCCTTCTCCTAGGCTGGTTGCCAACCAAAGCTAGAGAGCCTAGTCTGCCCTGCTATTTAACCCATAGCTGGGGAGAGAGAGATCTATACCTTTCTCAAGAATAGTTATACAAGAATTAGTTATGCTGGAATTTGAACCTAACATACTAAACCCATATTCTATGCACATAAACATGACACTATATACATATCCCAAAAACATGTTTAGTCTAGTGACAAAAAATTAATGGATCTAATTAATATTCAAAAAAATAAGAAAAAAATACCAAGGATTTGTTTGTTACTTGAATATTGATCACTGATGTGCATATCTCCATAATGACATATATATATATATATATATATATATATATATATATATATATATATAGTCAAGAAAATTTTTTCTACTTTTTCATAGTTTTTTTTGTTTATATATATATATATAAACAAAATTACTATGAAAAAGTAGAAAAAATTTTCTATTTTTCATAGTTTTTTGTTTATATATATATATATATATAACAAAAACTATGAAAAAGTAGAAAAAAATTTTCATGTAACACATTTCATCCTTTAGGAGTTCATTGAACTAAAGTCATGTTCAGGTTGATGTGAGTACACGTCAACAAAGGAAAAGGGACACTAATGATTTTTAAATTAAAATTTTATCCGTGTGTGTGTGTGTGTGTGTGTGTGTACAGACAAGGTGCGATGAGTAAATTGTCACCATTTTATATTTTAAATTTTGCACTTGTGTGTTGTTTGTTTTTAATATTTTTGACTGCACAATATACTAGAGTAAGTTGGGCACTGTCTGGGAGAAAAAAGCCCCATGATGCAATTCACTCCACCAAATGGCATGCCGTACTGTTTGGCATTCGCATTGGAAGCTCCAATATGAATATTTCAGTGTGTTTGGGTGTCAATCTGCACACAGTGCCTAGGATTTGGAAAGAGTTGAATGTGTCTAATGGTGATGTTGTAATTTAGAGAAGGTTACTGAATAGAATAATCAAATGAAGGTTGGTAATGAATAATAATACTTAGGACACAAACAACACATATAAGATTCACCAGAAGTAGTCAACTGCTAAAAGTGAGTCAAGTGAATTCCACAATGAATCTCCAACTGCAGACCAACATACAGTATTCACTACTGTATTTATGTGAATGGGGACATACCCATTGTTGTCTGTAGGTATGCTACAACAGGTGATTACAAAGGTACGGCAGCTCTGAAAACTCATTCTGGTCATTCTGATAAGAAAAGAACTCCTGAATTAGATAGTGAGGGCCTCAGACTCAACATGCAGGCCTAGATCAAGAGCATGGCTGCTGGAAGACTATGTCTGGCAACAGGACTCTGCACCATGCCACACAGGCAGGTAAACCCAGTCATAGCTGTTAGACAATTTCTGCGACCACATCACTCCTTACATCTGGCCACTTAACTCCTTTGTCAGGCACAGTTGAGTGAGAGACCAACAAAACTCTTTCTAACACCAAAGATGAATTTAAGGCAAGGATTATGGCAACATTCACCAACTTAAACAAGGATACCAGAAGAGTTGCAGGAGATTCCAAAGTTGTATGGAGAACGTGGTTGAAGGCAATTGCAATTTTACTGAATAAATTTACTCCTTAGTATTTCAAGATATTTTTGTGTAACTTTGGTAAATATATCTGTTAAAATGAGATGTCAGTGTTATTTTCATTTTTGCATAATTTAGATGACAATTTATCCATCGTACCCTGCATAAATATTGTTCTTGATATATAAAAATTTATATATAATTTTCCCATATATATATATATATATGTGTGTGTGTCTTTGATATATAAAAATGTATATATCATTTTTGGCAGATCTGAATGTTCTGTATGTGAAAGGGCTTTTGGCTGTACTTTTAGACATTATCATGGATGAATTTTATTTTTTACTTTTAACTGAATGTACGGATTCTTTTATGTATCTAGAGTTATAGAAATGTTTTTTTTCAAAACCTGATCAGAACATTCTGACTATTTCTCCATAATTTATGTCCAGAAAGGAAGAAAATTATAACAACACAAAAAAAAAAAAAATAAATAAAAAACTTAAACGTAGTACCTTGTCAGTCGTTTTTAAGGTAACTTGTATAAAAGAGGGATTGCTGCCCAAATACACACACAATATATATATATATATATATATATATATATATATGGAGAGGGAGTGAGGTGAGGGTAATAAAAATAAAATTTGTCACTTGGCTAATAGATATTATATTCTGTACCCCCAACTAGAGTTCCATAGATTAATTTTTTGTATCTGTTCAATCCACTCTTCATGAAGTTTCAGCAATTAACTATGTTTTTTTGCTTATTTTTCATTTTCTTCATGTTTGTGTGTATGTCTATATATATATATATATATATATATATATATATATATCGTGGCCTGACAATTGCATCTAGCATGAAACAGACTGTCACCTCTAAGTGTTGACTTCTATGTTCACTTTTATATTCACACACGCTCTATCTCTGATATCGAGCACTTTATCCCATAGTACATTTTAAGACTATATTTCTTCACATATATATATATATATATATATGTGTGTGTGTGTGTCTGTGTGCATATATATGAGATAACAATATAGATTTTTTTATATATCATGAACATTATTGTGAAAATTGTATGGCAAACTGGAAAAAGTTTACTTATGACGTGTTTAATTCTTCAGAACTTCATCAGAATAAATTTGTTTATGTCGGTAGGACTACACTTGCAGATGATAGAGGGGTGCTGTGTATTTTAGAAAGTTTTTTTTTATTTCATCTGGATGAATTCATTTAGAGTTTGTTTCTTTTTCTTTACATCACCTTTGTAAGTAGGTATTCAACACTGTGATATTAGATCTGCCAGATGTGTGTGTGTGTGTGTGTGTGTGTGTCAGTGACAGAAAGGTGAAGTGCTACCAAAATTATTGTCATCTTTTCTAAGTCTGAGAGCAACTAGCAGGAATGAAACTCTCTCAAAAGAGACGGTGAAAACCAGATTTCGAGGTAAGTAAACATTTTTTTTTAAAATGATCAAATTCTCTGAAATGTTGGGTATCACACTTCATGGCTGTATGCAAACAGAGTACATACCCTTATAATCTGCATTTACTCCCCTGCTTTCCTCTTCTATGCTCATACAACAACCTCATTTAGTAACCCTCTACCTTGAGCAGCTCTTGGGCCTTGTACTGAGTGACAAAAGAAAACACACACACACACATATATATATATATATATATATATATATATATATATACATAAAGTGAACTTGTTATTGAAACATATTCACATAATAAATGTCTAGAATATATTGTCTTTCCATCGACTGGTTTTACTTATCAAATCCATGAAAGACATATTCACCTTCAAAAATCCTCACAGCCTGGAACCAAATTTTCTAAAAGCAAAGACAGCCATAACTACCATACATCTATATTTCAAATAACTATATTTTGGCAATGAATTATTCATTATATCTCTTTCTTTTATGTACCATGTCCCTTCAGGACATAGACGATCATGGTTCTCCACAATGTCCTACTCTTTGTAACTCTTAGCAATGGTTAATTTTTGCTAGCTCTCCTAATCCTTGTTCTTGCAACCATTTACATAAGTTCGTTAAGTAGTTTGTGTTGCTTTCCTTTGTCCCTCTTGCTTCAGTATGTACTATGAGTATCAAATTTTCCAAACCCTCTTTCCAATTTTGTGTATAGGTGTCCTTTTTGTTACTATTTTTTCTAAAACTTCTTTATTACTTACTTGTTCAGTCTATGGTATTCATAGCCTTCTGTTAAACCACATTTATCACCTCCAGTTTTCTCTTCATCTTTAAGGAAATTATCCAGCATTCATTGCCATATAGGACAAGTGATATTACATAGCAGGTCAGCACTCTTTCTTTTTAAGTGTCTTTTTCCTTAAAATTTCCTTATTATTCACATGTTCAGTCTATGGTATTCATAGCCTCCTGTAAAACCACATCTCTGTCATCTCCAGTTTTCTCTTCATCTTTAAGGAAATTGTCCAGCATTCATTGCCATATAGGACAAATGATATTACATAGCAGGCCAGCACTCTTTCTTTTTAAGTGTCTTTTTTCTTAAAACTTCCTTATTGCTCACATGTTCAGTTCATGGTATTCTTTGATTCCTTCTGTAGAATCGCATCTCTGTTGCCTCAAGTCTCCTCTTCATTTGTGAGGAAATTGTCCAGCGTTCACTGCCATATAATGGGGAACGATGTTATTTTTTTTCTTTGTTTT